CCTGCGTAGAATCATAAGCAGTCGGACTGCTTATAAGCATAACATAAGATACATGAGACAGTAGTCTTGTTAAAATAGACCCTACACTTAAAAGAGCAGCCGCAGCGGAAGGTTGTCCGGGCACGTCAGCTGTGGCGGAAACATGCGGAAACCAAAAAGAATAAACAAACTAAAAAAACAAAAAAAAACAACGATTTCCGCACTAGTCTGAAGGATTCCGATTGGTGCGGAAATATGTTTTTAGTTTTTTTGGTTTGTTGGGTTTTTGTTGGTTTTATTTTTTTAATTTTTTTTATGTTTTTTTTTGGTTTTTGTGTTTTTTGGTTTTGCCGAAGGTTTAGGGTGCAGGGTGTAAGGCTTGTGCTAGTGTAGTTACGGCTTGCTGGACTTCCACAGGTCCAGGGGACCTTCCGAAGCATGCAAAGCTACCCTGAAGGATAAGTGTCGAACAAGTAGTGCAAAAAGTGCAAAACAGTGGGTGTGCAAAAACCCAGGCCCCGTGGCAGTCCCTTCTGTTTGCCTAACAGTGCTCGGGTCCACATCGGGTGGGCTGTTCGACAACTTCGCGAGTCGGACGGTTATCTGCTCACCCGCCGCGAGCCGCGCCACAAGGGGGCAGCCCCTAATTCTGACAGCGGCGCGGCTGGTCTCGGGCTGGAAGACGCATTGGCACCGCCGGTTTCGCGCATTGGCAGGGCTTTGTGGGAATGGCTCGATGGCGTTTGCTTTCACGCCGACGCAGCGAGGCGGCCGCCGGCACCCCGCCAATCGCTGCCGGCGGATTTGGCATTGTTCCAGCCTCGAGGTCGAGAGGCTCTGCTTGGGCGATCATCCTGCTGAGACGCAGTCTGTGTCCTCCTAGTGCTTCTTAGTTGCTTCTTTGCTGCTGCGAGAGCAGCTGGCGGCACCCGAGCACACTACTAGCTACTTCCACATGCGTTGTAGCGCAGTTCGTTCTTTGTTCGTGCTACTTCCACAGGCGTTGTAGCCCCAATCCGTCACGAGAGCATGTAGGATGTTGCACTTCGCATCCCGAGCCCTTGCCCAGCCGGCCGAAGCGGTGCGCCTCACACCGGCAGCACTTGGAGAAGTTTTGCGCACGGCCAAACAGGGGACCGCTGCCGGTTTGTCCGGCGCCGCCGTCGAACACTACCGCTTGTTGCTGGAAGATGGCGATGCACTCGACATGTTGGCGCAAGCGGCCACACAGCTGGCAAATGCTCACAGCCCACTAACATCACGTTTAGTCCGTATTGATGGGCAGATGGCGAATCAAACGAAACTGTGTCGTGCAAGCCTCCAAATTGAACGCTCGTGCCCGAAACGTATAAACCGTAGCCGGAGTCCGTAGCTTCGGGTCAGAAGTCATGTTTCAAGTGCCAACCCCGCCCACCCCGGCCGAATCCCATCCCGACCCCGGAAAGGGGTGAAGCTACTATGCCGGAACCGGTACTCCGCGCCATGGCACTGTCGCGCTTGACGGCGCTCGCAAAACCAGTGGGTGGCGTGCGCGGGATCGCTACCGGAGACACGCTGTGTCGCCTTGTCACTCGAACGCTGGCCCGGCAATTCGCACACGTGTTCGACCGGGCAAGTCGCCCCTACCACTTCGCGCTGCAAGCCGGGGCCGGCACAGACTGCTATACAAATCGTTCCAAAAAAATTGCTAAAAAACTCACCCCCCCGACGGCCTCCCTGTGCCTCGTGCAAGGCATCGTGCTATGCCAGGGCAAACAATGTTGGAGCCAACGCGTCGCCTTGCTCGCAGCCTTCGCCTTGTGGCACGTGCCACACGTAGGTGGAGATGCCGCCGTACCAGGCGCGCACGTAAGGCACCAGCGAGGGGGCGATCTCGCGAAGCTTGGACAGGAAGGCCGCGCGGGAGACGGTGTCATAGGCGCATCGGCCATCAAGCGAGACGACTGTGGCATCGGCATCCAGCTCCGTCGCGGCTCGCGGCATGGCTGCCAACCTCGTCACCACCCCGCCTCGCGCCCGCGCTGCCCTCGACGACGTCACGGACATCGTCGAGGCGCGCGCCGGTGTCGCGGCCAACCTTGGCAAAACGCGCGTCTACCGCGCGGCCGGCGGCCCCCCCCCGCCCAGACGTGTGGTGCGGCGCAGCGGACCCGGCGAATCACGGTTTCGTCGTTCTCGGCGTCCCCATCGGCAGCTCTGCATTCGTGCGCTGCCGCTTGGGGGAGCGGCCGCAGGCAGAACACGCTTTGCTGCAGGAGCCACAGCAGCTGCCCGACCTGCAATGCGCGTGGCTTTTCCTGCTGTATTGCGCGAGCCCCCGGGCGCAGCATGCGATACTCACAGCTCCGCCGTCTGAGTCCAGCTTGTACGCTGCCGCGCACGACAACGCGATATGGCGGAAGTTGCAGCATCTCCTCGCTGAGCCTGACGCCGAAGGCGAAAGCTGGGATGCGCCAGCGTCGGCCTGATGCTGCGGCACGGTGAGTGCGCGTGCTGTCAACTGCTGACGGGGCAGCGGCGCCTTCATGCAGGGCCGCGGTAGCCGCAGGTGCAGCCCTGGACGCCGAGGGTTGGATTGAGCGCCCCGACTGGCGCCCCGACTGGCCCATCCTGTTGGCCGCAGCAGGCTGGCGACGCAGGTGGCGGGGCTGAGCTGTGCGCAGGAGCGCGCCCTGGCATGCACACTGCTGGGTGGCACCTGGCGAACACCGGCGCAGCCGGGTAGCTATGGGCAGCCGACACTCCGCGAAATCGTCGAGCTGTGGCATGGCTGGCGGAGCTTGCGCTACCTTCCTTGCTGCCGCTGCGTGCCCCGTAACTGCACGGCTGGCGCCGCTCGTAGCGACAGTGGCCGACCGACCTGACCACTTCTTCGCAGACGGAAAAAGGCGCGGAAAAACATCATCGACGAAACGGCCCATGCCCACATTGCCCACAATGTAGTCAATGTCACGAGCCTGCAGCCAATGCTTTTAAGCAACAGCCGGTCGTCAGCATGATCTTCCCAATCGCTGCTTGAACGTGTGAGTCCGTAAATGGCCATGTACAAGAGATGCACAGGACAGCGCATCTCCATTCGGATGGTGTGCGGAATTCTTTCGGCACCTTCGCAGCACTTCGTTCGCGACCTCGTCCGCCTCCGAGCCCTCCGCGCACCGCCCGCAGTGCGTCGGGCCGCGTCCTGTGGGTGGGCGCGACGTTGGTGCGGAGCCTTGTCTGTCTCGGCCCAGCTCGCCGCAGCATTGGGGCGCTCGTGGCCAGCCGTCCCAGCGCCGGGGCCGAGCGACGGCCCAGCACTGGACCGCACTGGACCGTGTGCTCGCTGCTGACGGGGCACGTAGCCGCTTGGCCTTGCGGCCCTTAACCGGGACCGCGCGTTGCAATATGATGCCGTAGAAGTGTCGTAGCTACCGGATCTTCGTGCAGTCGGAAAAGTGCGTTGGAAAAAAGTTGAAGAATTTCGGTGCTGTTTCTGGGGGCAACTGCAAGTCAAGGAGGGCGGAGGTGCCAGTGCCAATTGCAGTCTACGGCGGCGAAACGCTCTAAGCACGAGCAGGGCGGCGGCTGGGTTGACGAGCCTTTTGCCACAGCGAGTGTCTGCAAGAAACTCGTGCAGCGTTGGAGGCGGCCCCGCAGCACCGAATTCCGACTCGAGAGGGAGCTCCAAAGTGGCAGCTCGCGACGTTGCGCCGCACTGGAGATGAGGCCACTTCATCGAAGAACCGAAGCATACCGATGCGGCTCAGGCGGAGTTGCGGACAGCAGTCGACACCGCTGGGGAGCAGCAAACTCGGGGTAAGAGCGTTCCTTGGCCCGGCGTGCATCGGTTAAGGCTGCGCCAGCAGTGTCGCCGAACGGCGGCGAGGGAATCCGGCTGAGGTGAGGGGCGAGACCGGCATCGTGTCAACAGCTAGCGGCGAGCCGCCCCACAAAGGTAACCCATTAGCGATTACCTCAATTCAACGCTCGTCATGTCTGGATGCGTCGAGGTTCAAGTCCCGGACAAGCACGTTGGTGGCAAGAGTCGCTCCGGCCTCACGGGAAACCCGAGCTGCGGCGCGCTCAAGGGGAGACCCCGTGCCCTAAGGACACCAGACCGAGGGCAGGCAGCAATGTGGTCTCCCAGAACATCAAGCGGGCGTCGACAGTGGCATCGTGCAGGAGGGGCCAGGGCGAGAGGGAGCCGCAAGCGACGGAGGAGCAAGTCCTGGAAGAGCACAGAGTCGAGGGTGAGCTCGGGGGCAGTGGGGCGGACGGTGAGCGACCTGGCAGGAAAGGGGCCAGACTGCGAGCCAAGGTTCGGCAGGGTCGACCGTGCTTCGGTGTCGTTAACGGGCCTCGTGCGGGCAAGTCCGCCCAGCATGGGACAGCAAACCAGCTTTTGTTGTTTCGTTGGACCGCGAGGTACAAGAGGTCCCTGTGCCACCTGCGCCCGTCACCAAGGTCGGCCACAGGGGGGAAATCAAGCAGCGAAAGCGTGGTGCGCGGCCCTTCACGGAGTCCCCGCCCGTTTACGCGGGGCCCTCCACACACGCCCATGCGGCCAGGGCTCGAGCCAATCTCAGAACGAACGTCGCCGCAGCAAGAGCTCCGAGGCTGGAGGTTTTTCCTTCTCGCGAGTCTGCGGACGTCACTCAGGAGAGGTGTCGAAGGCAATGCGTCTTGAGGTTACCAACATGTGATTGTACAGTCCGTGAGTGCAGCTGCCCACGCATGTCACATGACGAACTTGTTGCTTCAACCGCAGGAGCTCCTTTGGCCTCAACCTCTTGTAGGATTCAGCTACGCTTTGACATAGAAGGCCTTTTAGGCTTTCGTTTCGAGCCATAGGCTCCTGCTGCGGAGTGCCGGACGCACTTATCACGAGAACACCGAGACGGTGCGAAAAGAGAGTGACTGAGCCCAGCTTTGCGATCTTGCTGCCGGCGTCTCATCGACGTTGGTAGCGGAGCTGCGACTCCGGTGGGACCTGTGGGGCCATTTTGGACGCCAACTGGCCTGAGTTTCACGAGAATTCGATCATGAACGATGAGAAAGGCAGCAAGTACCGCTGTGCCTGGGACGGGGATGCGTCGTCCTGGCAAGACTATGTGAGAAAGGCAAGACTCATGTTCGAAAGGACCCCGAGGAAGCGGCGCCACCTTCTAGGCCCGGAGCTGCTTTCGCAGCTGACTGGACGTGCTTGGGTGGCTACTCAAGAGATTGATCACACCCTTCCTGTTCGCCGCACAGGTGTGATTGATCTGCTGCAATACCTTCAGGGGAAGCTTGGAAAGGGGGTGATTCCCGATGTGGGGACCCGCCTCGAGGCCCTGATCCTTCGTCTCCGGCGTCCATAGGGCAATCAATGTCAACGTGGGCGAGCCGGTTGCGAGAGGCCTACCGCCAGTTGCAGATGGCTTTGGGGCGAGTACTTAAGGGGCAGCGCACCGAGGACCCTGGCTCACCGAGGGCTCCTACGACAAGTTCCCCGGTGCCCCGGTTCTTCATCGCTGGTGTGCGACAAGCCCTCGTGATTGCGCTTGAGGCGATCCGCGCTGCACAGGAAGGTCGTGATGAGGCAGCGCGAGTCCGGGCATGGAAGCTCTTCCTCCTCTTGCCGCGATTGCTCCTTGCGCGCTCCGCTCATTCCGGGTCCGAGGGCCGTGCAGCGCTTGTCCACCGGATCGAGCTGTTCCGCCAGAGCCGCTTCGAGGCGTTGCACGCCCAGTCTGTCGCCGCCCGCGCGCTAGCGAGGCCCCGGCGTGGGGGCGAGGACAGCGAGGAAACCCGCGCAGCTGCCGCCTGCGCCAAAGTCAGACGTGGCGAGTTGTCTCGCGCGCGTCAGACTCTCACTGCGGCGGCCCTCGCCCCCGGGAATGCGGATACGCTGCGGGCGTAGACGGACCCGGCTCGGCGCCCGCCGGAGCCGCTGCGCGAGCCGGCCCCCGACGTCCTTCAGTTCCAACCTGCAGCGGAAGTTCACCTGTCGACATACCAGGTTGGGGAGGCGTTGCGTACTTCCAAGCGCGGCTCCGCTGCGGGACTGTCTGGTGCCACCGTCGAGCTGTACAAGCTGCTCCTGGATGATGCTGATGCTCTCGAAGCCTTCGCCTTCGCGGCCAATGTCGCCGCCCGCGCGGAAGCACCTCAGATCGTGCTCGATGCCCTTGCCCTTTCGCGTCTGACCGCCCTCCGTAAACCAAACGGGGGTGTCCGAGGCATCGCCACCGGGGACGTGTTCCGGCGTCTCGTGTCCCGTGCGCTTGCACGTGCGTTCGGTGGAGAGCTTGATGCTGCCACCAGGCCCTTCCAGTTCGCCCTGCAGACTCGCGCCGGAACGGACAGCTTGGCGGCGATGCTTCGTGCCGCTGTCGAGCTCGACCCCAGGACCACTGTCGTTTCCCTCGACGGGCGCAGTGCTTACGATACCATCAGCCGCGCGACTATACTCGCCAAGTTGCGCGACACCGTCCCGCCGCTCGTGCCCTTTGCCCGAGCCATGTACGCGCGCACCTCCATTTACCTGTGGTGGGACAGCCATGGGCGAGTGCACGAAATCCCGCAGGCCGAAGGAGTCGAGCAGGGCGACCCCCTCGCACCGGGGCTTTATGCGCTTGGTCAGCACGATTCGCTCGTTGCCGCGAGTGCTTCTCTGCGGCCCGATGAGCGCCTCGCTGCGTTCCTGGACGACCTCTACGTCGTCACCGTACCGGAGCGCGCAGCGCCACTGCTTCGCGTCGTCACCCAGGAGGTCGAGCGAGGCGCCGGGGTCGAGGCAAACCTAGGCAAGACGCGAGTCTACAACGCCGCCGGCGGGGACGCCCCACCCGGCATCGCAGCCTTGGGCCCAGACGTCTGGTGTGGCAACCTGCCCCTGGCGCAGCGTGGCTTCGTAGCTCTTGGCGTGCCCATCGGTCACCCCGACTTCGTTAAAGCTCAGGCCGCCGACCGCCTTGAAGCTGAGACCGATCTGCTCAGCAAGCTCCGGCACCTCCCCGATCTTCAGAGCGCCTGGCTCTTGCTCGCTTTCTGCGCCGCGCCTCGAGCGCAGCATCTGATCCGAAATGTCCCTCCTGCAGACATCCTTCCGTATGCTCGCGCTCATGATGCTGCAGTCTGGGCCGTCGTTGCCTCTTTGCTGGGCGACCCGGGGCCCAGCGACGGCGACGACTGGGCAGCTGCGCGCCAGGTCGCTTTTCTGCCGCCGAGCCTCGGGGGGCTCGGCCTCTTCGCGGCTGAGCGGGTGTCGCCGGCTGCTTACTGGGCGGCGTGGGCAGATGCACTCCCGGTATTGCACCAACGATACCCCGACGCAGCAGACAGGCTCGTGCGCGAACTCGAGGGCGAGCCGGTCTCGCCGTGCCTGCGTGCCGTCGCCGACGCAGCACGCCAGCTCACTGGCGTTGGCTGGGCGCGTAGACCGGACTGGGCTGCCTGCGTTCAAGGCGCCGTGGCCCCCACAACTGACGGCGAGCTAGGGCTTGGAGGGCCCGGCTGGCAGCGACAAGCGGCTCTCGCACTTCACACTTCCTTTCGAGACCGCGACTTGCTCCCAGCCTTGACTCCTTCAGCTCGTGCCCTCCTTCACTCCCAGTCCGGTCCGCATGCGGGAATGTGGCTGGCGGCCATCCCTTCTGATGCGGCGACTACACTCACGCCCGACCTCATGCACCTCGCGCTGAGGCGTCGCCTGCGCCTGCGCTTGCCCATAACAGGCCGGCACTGCGGCGCGGAAGGCCGCCATGGCTGTGGAGCTGAAGTCGATGCCTACGGGGACCATCACCTCGCCTGCCCCCGGACCGGCTTGTTGCCAAGACGCGGGTTCGTTGTTGAGCGAGCCTGGGTGCAGGTCGCTCGCGAGGCTGTTGGCCCGGAAGGTCGGGTTGTCCCGCAGCAGTGGCTTGCGCGCACTACTGCGCCGCAAGTCCACGCCGACGATCGTCGCCGCCTCGACTTCGTTGTCTACGGAGCGACGACTAATGGCGAGGCCTTGTGCTGCGACGCCACGCTGGTGTCCCCACTTACCCGTGCTGGTCGCCCCGTCTCGGGTGCTGACGCGCGGGCGGGAGTCGCACTTGCTGCGGCGCGACGACGCAAACTCGCGCGCTACCCGGAGCTCACCCGTGGCGGGCCTCAACGGCTCGTTGTCCTCGCTGCTGAAGTCGGGGGGCGCTGGAGCGACGAGTGTCAGCAGTTCCTCCGTACTTTGCTCCGGCTCCGGGTCCAACGAGCCCCGCCGCCGTTGCGAGCCTCCGCAGCCCAAGGCTGGGCACGCCGCTGGTGGAGTGTGCTGTCGGTAGCCCTGCAGCGAGCCGTCGCCAGCTCTGCGCTTGGAGTCTGGTCCATGCCGCCGCTGCCTGGAGCGCCTGCCGTGCTTCCACTTGGCGACGTGCTTGATCTTGCGGATGCGAGCGCCCCCAGTCGGCTGCCGCTCCGATAGTGCAACGCACTAGGGACCGAGGGGTAGTTTAGACGGCGTTGGGACAGTTCGAGCAGACGCAAAAAGGCGCGGGAAAAAAAAAAAAAAAAAAAAAAAAGTTCCCCGGCTTCACCAGAGGCAGGACTGTTCTCGGGATCGTCCGAGTTCTGGGACTCAGGATGAACCACAGCATGAGTCCGTGACAGAGGCGGAGACTTTGCCTGGAGATGGCGTCCTTTCTGATGACGATGACGACGATTTGGTGGAGACCGAAGAGGCAGATCCGACCTCGTCCTGCGCGAGATGCTGCTACCTCTATGACCTCGCTCGAAGACCAAGGAAGCAGGACAGTGACAGTGACTCTTCGCAGAGAGCTCTTCAGGACCTTAAACTGTGGGAGGAGTACACTGAGGTGCTGGAGGAGGCCTTGCCACCCGAATTGCTGGGGTGGCTGCTGCTAGGGCCGGCCTGAGCACTACGGCCCGATTGAGCGTGCAAGCGGCAGCCGGGAATAGTCTGGAGATGGAGAAGATCGAGTCTGCTTCGCGCTCGATGGAGGAGGAACTCCTAGGCCCAGAGTCAGCTCCTCGGTCACGTGGCGGTCCACACCGAAGGAGAACCTTCTGGGTTGAAGAGCAGGGCCACTGGTCCCTGTTGATGGCCTTGGAGGAAGACATGGCCGACGTCTTGGAGTCGGTAGAGACTTTCTATTATGGAGAAGATCACGGTGTGGATACAAGCCCGTGAGAGCACTACTACGGCGACGCCTGGGACTACGACACCGAAGAGGACATGGCCTGGTGGAGTGGCCAGGACTGGGAGCAGGATCCGACGGAGTCCCTCTCGAAGGAGGAAACTGCCGAGGTCAACGAGGCCTACTCCGTGGCGGACAATAAGCTCAGGAGCTTTGTGCAGGCGAGACAAGCGGTTAAAGCTCAGAAGCTCTCCCGAGGCTTCTACCCGTTCGTGCCGAGCTCAAAGGGCATTGGCGGTGGCAAGAAGGGGATGCGAAAAGAAAAGGGAAAAGGAAAGCGCCCGCAGAAGGGAGCCAGCGGTTCAGGCTCTCCTGCCAGCGCGACCTCAATGCCCATCCTGATGCGTGAAACTGCTTTCGCCATGCGGCCTGGAGACCCTTCTTACACAGGATGCTTTATCTGTGGGGATCGTGGGCATCAATTCCGAGATTGTCCGAGACGAAAAGGAAAGGGCAAAGGCAGCGTCCACTTCAGCCAGGAGGACCTCTATTGGATGGACGCGGACAAGCACAACCACGAGCATGACGCGCCGGATGACATCGCCTCAGATTACATGATTCAGGAGATTACCACGGCACCAGATCACGACATCTCGTCAGATTACATGATTCAGGAGATTACCACGGCACCAGATCACGACATCTCGTCAGATTACATGAGTCAGGAGATTACCGCGGCACCAGATCACGACATCCCCTCAGATTACATGATTCAGGATATTCAGGAGATTACAGCGGCCTCAGATCACGACATCGTTTTGGATTACATGATTCAGGAGGCGAACGTAGCTTCTCTTGGTCCATCGGAAATTCCTTCTGCTCATATCGAGGACACCGTTCTCCTTCAGGACCAGAGAGAAGAGGGTGAGATGGCCGGTATGGCATAGACTCAGGTGCCACAGAGACTGTCAGCAGCTTGCCAGCCTTAGAAGCCTTGATGAACGCTCGAGCGAAAAGGTCTGGCATCCAGGAGAACGTGGAGGTCACGAATGAGGCCCCTAAGCGGTTCAAGTTTGGAAATGGGGCTTATGGTTTGTCGGCATCGCACATTCTCCTGCCCCAAAGACTCGGGGATCGATGCGTCAAGCTCGGAGTCTATACGCTCGACGTGGTAGGCGTACCGCTGCTGATCGGCGTGAAAACCTTGTGGAGGCTCAGAGCTGTGCTAGATTTCCATCGTGATGTCATTGTGCTGGGGGCGGTTGACCCAAATAGAGGGGTCCCTTTACGCCGTTCTCGCACAGGTCACTTGCTGCTGGATCTGAGGGTAGATTGGATCAAGTTAACAAGTGCACTGGATTTCGCAAGCTAAGAAAACTGAGACGTCGTACATGGTGTCTGAAGATGCCAGTGATCCACGGAGTCCACATAGAAGCCCTGCTGTATGTGCCAGTGATGATGTTCAAGCAGAGCATGTGCAAGTCCGGCAAGCTGACGAGGTTGATATGTGTCTCTCGGCCCAAACCTCAGAACAGGTGGGTCAAACTATGAGACCTTTTGCGATCCTGACCACTTTGATTGCGGCTCATGGCTACTCGGGTCCAGCGTGCAATTCGAAGCACGGAGCAGGCGGTGAAGGGCGAGCTTCCGAGATCTCCATCAAAAACCTGAAGCATTGGTTGGGCAGCGGCCGAGCGCATTGCAGAGAACCAGCTGATGAAGATCCGAGAGCAGAGGCAACAATCGAAGGGATTGGCTCCCAAGGCAGCGGCCGGGTACAAGAACGCAAAGCCACGGCCCAAGGAGAAAGAAGAGAACGATCAACCCGACTGGTCACCTTCGAGCGCCATCTTGATCGAGGACGACCAGATGAAGCACCATCCTGGAAGGAAGGCAGCGCGGGGCAGCGATCAGACGGCGGAGAACCTGGAGTGGGACAGTCGGACTACGTGATGCCGGTGTTCCAGGACCAGGACCGGGTTGAGAAGCTTGCTGACGAGCTCGCTGCTCAAAAGGATTGGTCCATGCAAGGCATGGAAAAGTTGGTGGCGGCCATGCAGGTGACGAGCTCTCAATTGTCCCGGGGGATGCAACGAGGGAAAACCAAGGACTCGACCTCCGTGGCGCTCGGGATGTATTCGCGCGGATCCTTCTCCAAAATGACCAAAGGAACGCGCCAACTTCCTAAGGTTTGCCTGTGCATCAATGCCTGGTTAAGGGAGCAGCCGGAGCTTCGGGATGCCACTTGGACCTCGGTGAACATATCGGTGAACTCGGAGTCCAACCCTCACCGGGACGTTCACAACTTGAACGGCACCCGGAACTACGCAGTCTCATCCGATCTCATTCGGATCTCATGACGGTGTGAACTCTGGCTTCGTGAAGAAGAGGCAACGAATGAGAAACTCTCGGCGGTTCGAAGGTTGAGTTCTGGACAGCGGGCTTTGGGGACCCTGCGTCCCACGTGGCACCAAGTCGTGGCTTTCGACCCAGACACGTGGCACGCCACGATGAGATGGACGGGCCGAAGAGTGTCCGTGGTGGCCTGCACGGCCCGGCTGATTGTGAGGGCCCAAGCCGGCGTCCTTGGTGAACTGCGAGCTCTTGGTTTTCCTCTACCCCGAGTAACCCAGCAAGAGGACCTTGGATCAAAGAAGCCCGTCGTGCTGTGCTGGAGTTCGGCTCGACCGTTGACTCCACTATTGGTGATGTCCTGGAACGTGGAGGTTTTACATCCATTGGTGCCTCGTTTGCTGAAGGCTGTGATTTCAGTACCACAAAGGGAACTCAGATGGTCTTAGAGTTAGTGGCCAAGGTACGGCCTCAGTGGACAGTGTGCCATCTCCCTCGGGGCCCACAGGTTCCAGAAGACCATCCTCGACTTCATGAACTACAACGACGGTTCTATAAGGTGCTCGGGAATTTCCTCAAGGTGGCCCGCCGAGTGATGGATGACGGAGGTCAAGTGGTGTGGCTCCAACCACACAATGGGATGATCCAAGATGCTAGCAGAGAGGTGCGTGAGTTCTGGCGACAGTACCAGGACTATCACGGAGGGCATCCGGTCTCCATCGGAGCCCACAGGGTTCGCTCAACTTCTGCTGCGATGCTCCGAAGCCTCCCACATACTAACGATGGGAACATCGATGCGCGACCGAGGGTTGCGGAACTCCTGAAAGAGATCCACTTCATGCCGATTGAGGACGTGATGGTCACTCAGGCCGAGAAGGATGTCCTCGCTCAAATGGAGGAGAAGGGGCTGAGAGAGCTTATGGAGCGAACTCACAAAATTCATTGCCGACTGGGTCACCCTTCCAACCGACTCCTGATCAGAAACCTCAACGTCCGTGGGGCACCCCTCAAAACTGATAGCCGCAGCATCTCAACTTACCTGTGATCAATGTCAGGAAGGGAAGAGAAAAAGGCCTCGACCAAAGGTCCAGACGGACAAGGTCCAGACGGACCAGGCGGAGCGCCTATGGGAAGTCCTGCAGATTGACATGTTCCATCAACAGATTGGCGACTACGTGTACCACTTCTTAATCATGCAGGATGAGGCCTCCATCAGGAATGCCCACGTGAACAAGGCCACGGAAGGTTGGAATGTGACGTCCGCCTAGGTGGCAACCATTCTGGATGAGGCTTGGCTTCAATACTTTGGGGCGCCGAGTGTGCTCAAGGGTGCCCTGAGAAACCTTCTGGCTGACCATGAGCCCATTGCTGAAGCAGAGAGGGCTATCGGCGTGCTGAAACCGAAGATCGAGGCTTTCCTGAGGACCTCACCGGTTGATCCAGTTCGAGCGGCGCTGGCCATGGTGATGACCCACAACACGCAGGTCAGGATCCATGGATACAGTCCTCTACGATGGACCCTTGGAAGAGACTTTGGCCCTGGGAACAAAGTTGGGAATGACCCTGGTGTTCTTCCTGCGATGGCGGCTGCGGCGACTCCGGGAACCGAAGCCTTCATGAACCGGGAGCTGAGACTGAAAGCCGCTCAGTCCTTCCTGGAATACCGCGAGAGACAATGGGCCTCTCGTGCAGCTAACACCCATGCTCAACCTACAAGCCATTTTCTCCCAGGAGATTTGGTCTACTACCAGAGGCTGAAGCACCCCTCAGACCTGCCCTCGAACCGTTTGGTCGATCGACCGCGAATGAGAACTACTCGATGGTTCGGACCTGCACGAGTGCTCGCGACCGAGACAAAAGGGGACCCAGGCGATCGGAAACCTGCGGCCCAGGTGTGGATCATTGCCTCGGGCTGTCTGAAGAAAGCTCATGTATCTCAGCTCAGGCATGCCAGTGAGACGGAGAGATTGATATCCGAAGCCTCCGGGACTACGGTGTTTCTGTGGACGATGACGAGCCTCACGGCATCCCTACACCGAGGAGCTTACGAGGACCTGACCGTGCCACCTCGCGCTCCTGAAGATCTTCGACTACCTGACACGGAAGAACTGGGCGAGGAGCTGACTGAGGAAATTGACTACAGACCGGAGCCAAGGGAACCGATGATGGTGGATGAACGTTCCGAAGAAGAGCTTCTTCCGGAGGAACCCACCGCCGGGATCAAGAGGCCAGCTCCGGCACCCTGGAAGGCGATGCACGTGAGCTGGTGGAGGATTACGAACCCTTGGATGTGGAGCGCCTCCTTAACGACCCTGACTACCTCCCGACAGTGCTAGTGACTTCAAGGAGAACCTCGGAGAGCGCTCTGGGACCTGACGGGAGCGAAAACTTTCGAGATCGGCGAGCCCGTCATGAATTTCAAGAGCGACCTCTACATGTACGGCAGGAAGCACAAAACATGTCTGTGTTCACGCCCGAGAACGCGGTCTTCGCAGTCACCATCCCGGCTCCCAAAGACACGGCTGAATGGAAGAAATTGGTGAAGAACCCGGAGAAGTTCGCAGAAGTTTCCTGGGCAAAATCATCACCCGCACAGCGCGAAGCCATGAACGAGGCCAAAGGGATGGAAGTCCAACAATGGCTGAAAACCAAAGTGGCCCGGAAAGTGAAAGAGTACGTGGACCCTACTTCATTGATTCGAATGCGATGGGTGCTCACGTTCAAGAATGCTGATCCTGATGATCGGGGAAACCTTCAGATGAAAGCCAAGGCCCGAATTGTGGTGCTCGGCTACAGCTCCCCGAGCCTACTGAAGGAGCCGACCACTTCGCCTACGATGTCGAGGCTCAGCCGACAGTTGATCTTGAACATGGTTTGTGCCAAGGGATGGCGGATTGCATGTGCGGATGTCAAAACCGCGTTTCTACAGGCGAGACCTCAAGAACGACAACAACGGCTCTTGGCACGACCGTTGCCGGAACTGGCCGAGGCGATGGGACTGGCTCCACACACCGCTGTGGAACTCACCGGGTCAGCCTACGGGTTGGCTCAAGCTCCACGGGAGTGGTTCCAAGACATCCGGGAGACCGTGAAGAAACTGGGAGCGAAGGCTTGCCGAACTGACCCATGTGTTTGGAGAATCTACGATGACAAGGGCAAGGTTTGCGGAATCTTCGCCAGCTACGTAGACGACTTTCTGCTGGCTGGGAACATGGAGTCGGCCTCCTGGAAGAAGTTTCTTGATGAATTTAAACAGGCATATACCTGGTCTCCATGGGAGTGGGATGAGTTCGATCACTGCGGGATCCATCTTACGCGGTATGAGGACGGGTCGGTGCAGATCGACCACGCGGCTTTCTGCAAAGAACTGGCTGAACTTCCTGCTCCTCCTACAACCTCCCGTACTATGACAGATGCCGAGCTTAGCCAGGCCAGGGCAGTGCTGGGATCCGTGCAGTGGCGTGTAACCCAGTCGGGGCCACAGCATGCAGCCAAATTGGGCTACCTCCAGAGTCTGTTGGCGAAGAAGGATACTGAGTGCATCACCCAGATCAACAAGTTGGTGAGGGAAGTGCAAGCTGCGAGGCACTTGAGCCCGCAGGTGCAGCAGCTCAACTGGCCTGGGGAGGACTTGACCTTCATCGGCTGGTCCGATGCGTCCCTAATTTCGTCATTGGATTGGTTTCGGCAGAGACTGTGCGCACAGGCCAGGGCAAAGTGAACCTTGTGAGCTGGCGCTCACAAAAGCTGCCCGGGGTTGCCAGGTCATCGTTGGCAGCTGAATGCCAGGCTTTGTCCATCACGGAACAAGAGCTCATGTGGAGCAGACTCTCCTGGAGAGAGCTCCTAGGAGATGATCTGGAGTTGGGCAAGGCGACGGAGATCGCGAAGAGAACCCGCGCCCATTTGATCATTGATGCGAGAGGGGTCTACGACGCCTTGATGAAGGGGGCGGACTTCTCGGAGGGGTTCAACCTTCGGGATAAGTACTCAGCCTTGGACCTGATGGGGCTCTCGGACCAGATTCGGGAGCAGGAGACCGTCTTGGAGTGGTGCGACTCCGATTGGCAGCTCGCGGATGGACTGACGAAAGCCAGCAAGCAGGATGCCTTAAAACGCTTCCTGGCGAATGGAACTTGGAAGCTGAGATTGCCTGGAGCCTTCATGTCAGCTCAGCGGCGAAAAGCGATGGAGAACTCGATGAATGACATGATCATCCTATGAAAGGGCACGGCCAGCTCCTCTCACTGCCTGAGTGTTTTTGGGGGCATGTCGAAGGCAATGCCTCTTGAGGTTACCAACACGTGATTGTACAGTCCGTGAGTGCAGCTGCCCACGCATGTCACATGACGAACTTGTTGCTTCAACCGCAGGAGCTCCTTTGGCCTAAACCTCTTGTAGGATTCAGCTACGCTTTGACATAGAAGGCTTTTTAGGCTTTCGTTTCGAGCCATAGGCTCCTGCTGCGGAGTGCCGGACGCATTTATCACGAGAACACCGAGACGGTGCGAAAAGAGAGTGACTGAGCCGGTTACGGATAGCAGGGGCTGCCAGCATCTCATCGACGAGAGGAGCCTCGCCATCAAGGTTGGCGGTGTTGGAGATAGAAAGGGCAGCAAGCTGGCAGCAAAGGAGTGTGCAGCAGCGATGGAAAGAAGTCCAGACTTCCGTGTGACAAAGGCTTCAACACACGCAGCGCGCTGGGACGCGACAGCATTGCGCGCCCGCGCCTGTGGGAGCAACCGGGAAGTCAGCAGCTTCGGCACCCCAGCGACCACCGACTTCAAGACCGAGGACAACGAGGCGACACCGACGGGCGTCGGTGAACTTGGGGTAGGTACGCTCCTTGGCCCGACGTGCTTCGGCCAGGGCCCCCTGCAGTGCTGCCACGCCTGCGCCGGCGTACGCCTGGTTGTCCTTGGACTCGAAGTTGGTGGCCGCTGGAGTGCCGAAGCAACCACCTTCATCCGGTTGCTTGCGCGTGCACGGGCGCGCGGAGCAGCCCCTTCGCAACGAGCTGTTTGCGGCCGCCTTTGTCGGACGGTGGTCCGAGCTTTTGGCCACCGCAGCTGCGCGAGCCTTCGCAGCCAGCTTGCTGTCGTTGCCGCTTTCCGGCACTGCGAACCTTGATGGGGCAGCGCCCTTACTGAGCGATGTCCTCGCTGACTCATCCGAGGCCCCGCCGCTTGGTTAGTGGGTTTAGTGGTGCCCCGTAGCCTGCTGCACCGGGACCGCGTTTGATTGCTCGCAAAAGCGTTCGTCTCCAAAAAAAAACCACACAAGCCAATAGTATACGAACGGTTTGTTTTCTTCCCACACTTGCTTGGACAGGGACCAGCAGCTGTTGTAGACTGCTTTCCCTCGGGCTTTCGAGCTGTTTCAAGCGTGTGCTAGGCCTGCTCTCATAATGCCGAGCGGCTCGATGCTCCAGCCCTGGTGAAAGGGTCGGCTCGTGTGTTTCGCAGACTTACCGGCGTGCAGGGCCAGGGGCGTGATCGGGGCGCAAATCCGCTCGAGGGCACAGGTGGAGAGAGCGCAGGCTAATCCCAGCGACGTTGCATTCACCTGCGGCGAGGGGGCCTTGTACGTTCGTGTAGCACGCTTGTCGCAGATTTTCCTGTGCCCTGGGTGATTCAAAGCCGCCCTTTGTCATGTTCGTCTCACGAGTTTCGCTTCCTCAGTCACTGTAGCCCCTTACCAGCGGGTTGCGGCTTTTTGTGGAACGACCGATCTTCACTCTCGAGCGGCTTGCTGCCCTCGCGCAAATGTTGTGGTCTCTTCCAAATGGTGTCGAATTTCACTCAAAGTGCTTTGGCCGGTTTCGGTGGCCGAGTGGCTTGCAATGCTTGCGCCCATTTTCGAGTGGATGCTGTAGCTGCTTTATGTCGACGAGAGTGAAGACCACATTGAAGCATCAAAACTGTGTTAGCGTGCCGGCTCCGATGTGCTGAGCTCTCCGGGCCAGTCCGTTGAAGTGCTTGGCCGGGGAGCTGCACTTCAAATCCTGTCGCTTCCGACGACTGCGCTTGGACGCCTTCCACTGCCGCAAGCGTGATTGCTTACTGTTCTCAAATCTGTCGACGTGACGTCTCCTACTGAAGCAAAGGTGATTCGAGTTTGTTTGCGTCTCAGGCCGGTTGATGCTGCTTTCTACGTGCTGGATGTAAAGCATAGAAGCTACTGTAGGGGGTTGCTTGAGTGCTGGAGCGATGAGCCATTGTGTGATGGCCCTTGCCCGGGGCCGTAAAAGTGCCGTGGCGGGTAGTCTTGGCTCAAGCTTGCATCCGCTGTCATTTGCCGGTGAATCCATTGTAGAGGCAGATCTGTCTCAGCCGGTCGAGTTTTACATAGAGTTGCTCCTGTTGGGCAGGGATGCTGCGAACATCCGGGCGGTGCACACATTAGCTAGCGGAACAAGTTGGGGAGGCGCGAAGTCTTCGTCTTCTCGAGCACTGGGATCACTCAAAATTTGTGGTTTCCTTGGCAGGAGGTGAACCCAACCTTATGGGGCACCACCAAGACTTGGGCACGCCACTCCAGTCAGCAGCTAGGCACAGGCAGCTCAAGCTGTGCCGCGGGTGGGCGAGGTCTAGACCAAGTGCGCCTGGAAGCTGCCAAGGCTTGTATCTCATGCGAGCCGATTGCTGCTCGACCAATCTTCAAGTCACAGTGTGTTGCCAGCAGTTTGAAAGGAATGCGGTGATGGCTACGTCTTGGAACCTCCGGAGAGCAGGGGCCTGGGGAGGTTGAGTGCAAGAGGGGTAAAGCAAGAGGAGTGGGACTCAGCAACTCTCGGGGACAGGCTTTCGGCTGAAGTCGCCACGCAAATTTGTGATCGCACACGTCCGGTTCCGACTTCCGACCAAGGCATTGACGCTGCTGTGGTTTACAAGCCAGCCTGGCATGAATTGGGTTCGGTTTGTCGGCTCCACACGCTGAGGGCCATGAGTGCAAACATGGTTTGTGTGTGTACTGTATATGTTCTTTGACGCTTTGATGTTGACGCGTTTCTTAGCATTGGCTGGAGTGTGGCTGCCAGGTTGTACCGCGGTGCTACTGGGGAGGTGGCATGCACGTGTGGCATTCGGGAAAAGCAAGAGCACGTGGCCCAACAGCATGTTGTGACCGTCTAGAATGCAGGTAAACGGGCAGGCTCAGCGAGTGTGGGCCGTCGGCCCAGTAGCAGCTTGCGACGCGTTGCCGTGTTGCATTTGCCCAGCATTTATCATCTGTCACAGCATGTCTTGCTTGTGAGGTTGACTTCCCTTCGCTTGCCCCTCAATGTCCTTCCAGTAAGCCTGTGTATCCAAAAGGCATCCCTTGGCAACCAAAGCATTCACATGGGCGGATCCCGGCTTATCAATGTCGTGGGCAAAGGTTGCACTTGAGCTGGGCGCCCTATGACACGCCATGTGCTTAGTGCATGCAGTATCGTTGATCCTGCTGCTGGTATGTTTGCTTGCGCTCAAAGAGGCCGGCCCAAAAGCAGTGCCGCCTGTCGCTCCTTGACGTGGCATCCTGCACGGCCACTTCGGCCTCGTCTGGCAATGCACCTGCCTCAGCCAAAACGGTGAACCTACAGCGGGCCAACGGGTTTTCGGATTCGCCATCCTCTGATCACGAGGGGCACGGCGACGTCCTTTGCGTGTCTGCCTGAGATAAACTCACTTCTGGAGCATGCCGAGGGCAAGCTACTCGTAGTGAACATCATTTTGTTGTATCCTGAGATGGAACTTTGGGGCCATCCACCAGTTCGCAGCACTCGTTCTTCGCTTAGCATTGCAGGCAGAGCAGGGGCTGTGGACTGAAGGCGCCTTTCAGTTTGGGCAAGACTTGCCTAGGGGACGTCGTCGTACCGTTTCAAAGGCTCAGCACATTGCCAGAGTCGTCGCAGAAAATCGCTGCCAAGATCATGCCGGTGTTGGCAATGTGCCTCAAGTCGCCCATAATGACCGGTACAGCGACAGCCCTAGCTAGTAAATGCACGGGGTGTACCATCCCACAATACATTAATGGATTTGCTGGGTTCGACAAAACGAACAGTCGTCGAATGAGATTCGATTGAATCTGGCCCGCGAGCGTGCGCAAAATATCATAAGAGCCGACAGGCTTTTCGGTCTCCGAAGCATCAGACTCCAGAACCCTCCAGAACCCCTCGCAATGTATTTCTCCGTGCTCGTTGCTCCAGCACTTTTCGCGGTGGGGCCTCGTCAAGAGCATTTGGAGCTATCATAGCTATCTCTGGAGAACCACGAATTTCTCCGCCCAGCCCTCTACGCAACCCGACTATTCCTTTGCCTTCGACTCCACACTCCGACATGCGCTGGAAATGTGTCTGGACGTGACTGGATGGATGGAGTACCCGGTGCAGCAATTTCTCCGCTGAGGCGAAGCAGAGAGAACTGGGAGCAGCTATGGGATCTGTCAGCGCGATACGTACTCGCCTTTGGAAGTAGTTGAATTTGCATGCCTCAAAAGTATCCCGGTTGACGGGGTGTGTTGTTTCAGGCTACTTTTGGCAGTGGAGGCAACCGCCTACGTCACGAGCTTGGTTGATATTTCGGTGCAGCGCTGATGTTCGGCTGCAGCCGAGCTGGAGGCAATGCAAGGCTTCGCAGAGTCTTTGGAGTCTGATGCTCATCATACGTTGGGGTCTGCTGGGAAACAGCATGCGGCAGTGGTATGCAGGAATCTCTTGGCCAGTCGGGACAAGGAGGGCAAGAGCAAGCCAGTCCGGCATGTTTCACTTTGAGTGTTTGCAGGACTTTCGATGCAAATTCTTGGCCAGGCTAGAGTTCATCCAGAGATCACTTTTCCAGTACCTTTGGTGAACGCCTCGTGGGGGTGGATTCCCTCATTGGTTCATAGGACATGAAGCTTGCAAGCCTCATTGGGCTCAGGCGACATCAGGGCGTCCGCTTAGCGGAGAACTCTGAGCAAGCCTTGTACGAGGTGCAAGCACACCATGCGGGTTTCGCAAACCAGGACACCTAGTTTCGTGGCATCTTGTGCAGGCCCAAGCAGTGCTGGCTTTCAACCTCGATCCCAAGGCTGACGACGAAGTTGTGCTTGAACCCAGTGCAGCTGCAGCCTCGTCGTGGCAATTGAGGAAGGTGTCAAGTACCTCAAGGGTAAGCTTGGCAAATCCAGCTCGCTCGAGGCAGCAGTTGTTTCCAGTTCGGCTTTGCAATGCCTTCTGCACACGCTCTTGCATCACTCTTGCATCTGCTGGAGGTGGGCCAGTGGCTGGCGCAGATGTCCACGGTCAATGGAGGTTCGCTGAAAGCTTGCTCTGCGGTGCAGTGGACGAGCTAGACGTGGTGCGAGAGTCCCGAGGCCTGGACCCAACCCTGTTGGGAAACTATTTTAGTCGGAGAGATTCTCTCGAGGCCGTGGGCCCGGAAATCACTCGACCCACGTTGCATCACATTGCGTATCTTGTGATCATGCCTGTCAGCGGGACGCATCAGCGAAGCAGGTCTTCAGGGAGTTCGTGTGCTGTCTGGACTTCGCAGGGATGAACTTGGTAGTGGCTTTGCGGAAGTCCCGGTCTCGGCATGATATTGCCGAGTGTGAGCGTCAAAAAAGCCTGCAGTAAGAAGCGCTGCTGCCGCCATTCCTGAAATCAGAAAAGCTTGCGGTGTTGTAGCGGCCCAGTGGCTAGCCATGGGCGAGGAGATTTTCTGGATCGACTGATCTGCTGAAAGGCTTCGATATGCTTCGATGGTATATATGTTGTTCCAGCGTCGGGCGATCTCCAGCCGACGGATTCTCAAGTCTCCGCTCGTGCAGGCAACTGCTGCGATCTCCGAGGCGCGGAGGTCCCGGAAATGGCGGCAATCCTTGCAACTGTTCGCCGACTACATGGCTGCAGCGCATGCCGATCAGCTTCCCATCGAAATGCCCATCTACAATGCAGCAATTACGGAGCCTTGGTGCAGATAGCGGCACTGGTCCAAGCTCCAGTTTACAGCCTCACTCCAATGCCTGACTTGCGAGGCATGCGAGGTTGGCAGCCAGTGGGTCGAGGCGACCTGACTTTTCAGAATCCTCAGCGTCAAGAGCAGAGGGAGGGTCCGAGCGCAGCGGATCGTTCGACGGACGAGGCTTTGGCATTGCTGCAAAGAGCGGAGGGATCTGGCCTGGTGCCCACTGCCGCTCGGACTCGGCGCCTGTTCGGATTGTTCTCTCCTCGGGACATAACTTCATTTGGGGGAAGCCCAATATCTGTGTCATTGGCCTGCTCCGAAAATCAGCCGTGAAGTGGATCCTAAGTGCATAAGAGAGCAGCCTCGTGAAGCGACGCCTTCTGCCACGCTTCAGCTGAGGTGGTGTCTCTGACGGCCGCCATGCCTCTCGGCACATCTCGAGAGCCCGAGCCCCCACAAAGAGAAGAGAGGTCTAAGAGCCTTGCAGTGCTTCAGGTCGGCCTGCCGAGAAGGGCGGCAGTGGAAACGTGCCCTGGAGATCTTCAGCCGTGCAGCTCAAGAGGTCAAAGTTGACGAGGCCTTGCTGGGTGCGGCCATTGCCAGTGGCTTGGACCTAAAGCCTAAAGCACGACTAGTGTACCTATGAAAAGCTTCTAAACTGTGGAGATACGTTGCCTCAGAGGTGCCGCATCCTGGCAGCGATGGGAGCTTGCATTACAAATCTTGGCTTCGGCTCCAGAGTACCGCGTGATCCCAAACCTTCCAATGAGAAATGCCGGTCTTCTGGCATGTGAGAAGGGCCGACAATGGGAGCTGGCCTTGTCGATGCTACCCGAATTCACCCAGGCCTCCTTGATCACAGTGAACTCCGCGTTGTCCGCCTGTGAGAAAGCGAGACAATGGGAGCAAGCCTTGGCGCTTTTTGCAGCGCTTCCGCATCCGTGTCCGCTCGAGCCCGACTCGGTGACTTGGACAGTGGCAATCGGCGCCATGGCAGCTGGCCGCTTCTGGCAAGCGGCCTTGCGAAGCTTCTGGGAGCTCTGCCGTTCCGAACAGGCATCCTACACAACGCATACGACCACGCTCTCTGCCTGCGAGAGGGCGCTCCGATGGGAGGAGCATCGGATGGGCTTAGCGGGGAGTGTCTTCCTGTGCGTGCTGCAAGGATGCCTTGCAGCTGCTGGAGCTGTGGCCTTCGCCGAGCGGAAGCACTGAGGTCCACACTGTAGGCGGTAGAGTCGGTTGAGCTTTTATCACGTTTCTCCTAGCAGCCCTGGACCCAGTGCTGCCACCACCGCATTCCTTCTAATTCCACTGTCTTGCCGTTCTACGACGTGTCAATGCTTGTCCTTGCCAGCTGGCTTCCATCGCTGCGGCTCGTAGCAGCAACTGGAGATATGCCGTGAGCCTCGCGCTGGAGTCCGGAAGTTTCGCCCGGCATCATGCAGCCCAGTGTTTGGACCCTTGGCATGAATGCCGGTTTGGTAGATTCATCTTCTCCTTTGGAGTCGTTGCTTCACGGGTGATGATTGCTGTCATGTGGATTCGGCATTGTAGCCGGATGGCTGAAATCTTCTGACCTGCTGAACTTCTGGTGGGGAGAGTTTGAACTCGTTCTCATGTCGGAGACTCACTGACTACTGGAGCCTTCTTCCGCACAGTTTACAGCCCACTTTTACAGCCCTAGCAAGCTGCCAACATGTCTTCTTGCATACGTGATATGCCAGTGTGAAGGCTTACGCATGGGACGCACGTCCAGGGCAAAGCATTGTAGGCTTTTTGGGCCACGCAAAATTCTGAAGAACAGATGCACCACTTGCACCGAGTTCCTGAAAGGGTGTGCAGCGCATGTGTTAGGACTGTGTTAGGTTTGTCATGTTCTCCACTGCTTGTCGTCACGCTGCATTCTCTCATTCCAGTATCGTTGAGCAGAGGCCCATCCACGACAAAGTGCTGTAGCCCTTCAGCGCTTTCATGGCTTGTTCGTGTTGGCGGTGTGATAGTGATAGTGATGACGAATTCTGACTGACATCCAGTGTCATTGAGCAAATCATCGTTCCAAAGCTCAGGAGGGGGCTGGCTGTTGGGGCCACTCTGGTCAGTGCTTACCCAACTCAGAAAGCATTCTCGCAATACGTCGGCTGAAGGCCCCTGGTGCAATCATGCTACTGCTGCCAGCCTGGAATTGCTTCAAAGCCAGCCAGGTGTTCCTTCCGGAGCCTGGCAGGGCAGACACCTCTCTGCAAGCCTGCAGCGATCAACTGAAGTGGCTCGTGCACCCGGGAAAAGCGGCAAGCAACGCCAGCCGCTTAAGAACCGGAGAACAACCGGCGTAGGCCTTGTCCGCAGAAACCACCGTTACAGTTCCCACCCACCTAAGGCTTTGTGGACTTTGACCACTCGCGACTTCCAAGAAGCATCTTGCATGACCATCATGGGCGGGGTGATGCGACATGGGAGAAGTGCTCGGGGACAAAACGGGTCCGGCCTGCGGTGCTCGTGTCGGTGCTGCTTGGGACGATCAATTCCGGTGTGCTTGCAACTTATTGCTATGCACTCGGGAAGAGTAGCGTCAGACCAAAGCTTTGCTCTGTCGCAGGGGCTCGACTCTAGGCTTTAAACATGAATCCAAATGCCAGAGGCTCTAGCTTGTCTCTTAGCACCCAATCATATCTACCCATTCTGTCTCTCGGATGAGGTGCGGTTGTTATTGGAACAATAGACATTGCTGCACACACATACACTCACGCACACACCCAGCGGCAAAGCATGAATGGGCGACAACTCCTCACAGGTGCTTAGTTGACGCACTGGATATCGTGTACTTATTCGGCCATACATGGTCAAGACCCGTCCTTTGGCCTTGGCTCGGCCACGCCGACGCCTCCGATGTTTGCGGCGTGCCAAGCGCCGAGGCAAGCGACCTCCGTTAAACCGTTAAACTGCATATCGCGGTCATCTCGACAGGGATTTCTACATTTGCCATTCTGCTTAAGCCTAAGAGAATCTTCGGGTCGCCGGCTTGGTGGCCGAAACCAATGTGTTCTTTTGCCCGACAGCGTAGCGAAAGGTTTTTGCGAATCGTTTGGCCGGCCCAATGTGATGGTGCTTTGTGATGTTTGTCGTGGGTTTGCATCGCATGATGTGAGGTCTTCGGCAGGTTGGCCCCTAGAGTTTTCGTGGGCTTGTGTCTTAGCTCTTAATCTAACTGTAACTTGATTCTGTTAGCGCACGGCTGTTGTTTGTCCTGGTCTCAGCCTCGGGGCTACTGAGCTACTGAGTTAACTACTAACATGGCCCATGCATTGCGTTCTGGGAGGCGATCGCCAGCAGCAGCCACCGAAGCCTTTGTCACAGAGCGATCCAGTGACGACGCAGCCGGGAAGAAGCAGCTTCGGTGTTCCAATCCGCAAGGCGCGACAAGTGGACATGAAGCCGACCAAGCAATGTTGGCTCTACAGTGACAGTGGCCGGCCTTCAAGAATGCTTTGCTGCAGGCGGCAAGCCAAGATGTGCAGCGGCAATTGCGTGACTTGCAGGCGCAAGCTTTGCCACGACAGTGTACGTGCAAGCGAGTTGTGCCAATCTCGGTGGTCTGGGCAGACGGCTACCGGGGGGGGGCAGGTAGCCAACTGAAGCCCAGTGTTCCGACAGGAGCAGAGAAGTAGAAGCCATGGGCCATGGTGTCTTGAAGCCAATAGGAGGAGAGCCCCAAGGAGAGATGAAGTGGCTGACGTTGACAGCAGAACAGGAATTGCCACGTCCGCAAGACCCCCACACCAGCATTTCAAGCCCGGCGACAAAGAATTGCCACCCCGACCAGTATTACCGCCTGACAGGAAGCGATCATCCGAGAAACGTTGGGAATGATTCGCGCACTCTGACCAATGGACAAACGCCGCAGTCTTCAAAGAGCTCTGGCAGGACACTGTAAGGGCAACAACCTACCGTAGCTTGTCAACACCTCGGAGGCACGGAAAACAAACCGAAACAAGCAAGAACCCAGGACACAAGACGGCAAGCTGGAGTTAGCAGGAACCCAGTCCAGCCACATCGGACAAAGCAAGCAAGCCGGAGCACGCAAGAGCCGAGACACAGGACTCCGACTGCATCAGACGAAGCAAGCCAGAGCAACAAACAACACCATGACAAGGTCGACCGCTGAGACAAAGCAAAGAACCCAGGAGGAGCCCAGACAAAGCGGACCTGAGCAAGCAAGAGCCCGCGACGCGGGAGTCCGACTTCATGAAGCAAAGCACACTAAATGACTCGAGCGTGCAAAAGCGAAAAGCCTCCCCCTTCAAGCCTGTAGCTGCAGCCATCGTCGGAGACCATGGAAACCTCAAAGCCCCGAGCACGTGTGCAAACAGTGTAAGCCGGAACAGTTTGACAGTTGCCTTAGTGTTTTTTAGTGTGGGTTTGTGCTTGTTGTCGACAGCTCACGCCGAGAAGTTTTCTGAAAGTGTGTGCGAGTGGGTGTCGATAGTTGAAATTTGTGCTTAGCATCAGTAAGGTGCTCAGTGTCTGACTTGCCATCTAGACTATCTACACAGTGCGAAACTCTTCTCGTCGAACATTTGTTGGCAGGCTCGACATTCGACGACCTCCGAGCAGCTGAGGGCCCGAACTGCCTCCTGCATGAACCTTCGAAGCTGCTGCATCTTTGGGGCGTCAGGTTGTCGAGCATCTACAGAATTCCGAAAGGGCTTGTACGTAAATCTGTAGGTCCAGATTGCACTGGATGGATGCTGGGTGGCAACATGCTCCGTGTTCGGGCTGCGAAACAGCACGAGGCCGTGAAGCGCGCCCTCCCACGGTATGCTCGCATCAACACGCTGGCCCCAGGCAATAGGGATGTCTCCCCAGACCGACCTTTGGTGTGTTTGCGGCCTCAGGTGTCACCTGGGGCAAGGTCCAAAGGGAGCTTCAATGCAGCGGGCACAGCTTTTGGCGGCCGAGCTTGCGCGAAAAGCGAGAAGCTGCACGTCGTCCCTCCGGTCTCGAGCCACCCAAGGGCTCGAGCAACAAGACCTTCGGTTGCAGAGCAACTTTAGGGAAAGGGCTAGCTAGGTGTAAAGGTCGGCCCACGGATCCTTCAAGGATCTACTATCGGGACATCCACATCCCAGAGTTGCTGGTCTTCAAGCCCATGGGCCAGTCCCACACCGAGGACGACTCCCGAATGCACCGAGAGGGATCTTTTGTGCATCCTGCTTCAAAAACTCTCCCGGGCTGAGGTAGAGATGTTTGACGAGGGGGGTCTCATCTTTCAGCAGAAGGCAGGTGTGCCCTTGAAGCGACCCATCAAGGCGAAAGGCGCACTGTTCGTGGCTTTGGTGCAGGCCTCGGCGTTTCCAGCCCTGGCTTTGCAGCCACCCCCTGGTGCGCAGGACCCATCGCGACTCATAGCACCCGAAATGAAATGAATGTGAAGCCGAAGACTAGGGCGCCAAGCAGTCTACACACCTTGCCATGACGTAGTTGCTGCAAGTGCAGCCCATAGTTGCAGTCACGTCGTAGTCTTCATCCCCTTCTTGGGAGGTCATCGATGCCTGCGCAGCTCCAGGATCGAAGACCTCGCAGCTCGCAGCGGCTTGCTTCCCTTTGGCCCTTCTGCCTGGTGGGAAGGGTTGCCGAGCAGAGAGCGCTAGATGCGCATCCTGTGAGTGACAGCCCGAGGCGATGATGTGCAACCAAGGGACCATCTACGCGTTTGACAGAGACTCCAGGCGTTTGAAGACGATGACAAACTTGCTGGAGCAAAGACACGTGACTTGCGTGGAAGCGCGAGAGAAGGACTCAACAGAAGCTGCCACCATGAGTTTTGGCTCTATATCCGATTTGCAGTCAGCTTACATGCCGCACGCCGACCAGGACTTTCTCCAGGTGTCCAGCCGAGATCCGAAGTACAGCAACGTGACGCACTTTCTGCTTGATCCAAGCTGTTCTTCCTCCGGGATGACAGCGCAGCCCATCTCGGACCCATCTTCTCTCCAGGAACTCGCAGCGAATCAGAAGGCAGCTATCTTGCATGCGATGCATTTCCCATCCTGCCAAAGAATCGCCTACTCCACCTGTTCCATCTACGAGGACAGTGCCGTCATCTTTTCTTCGATTCTCGCATGTTTTTTTGCAAATTCTAGCCAGATGCAGTGTGGATTCTTGTTGTGCTTGATCTGTTTCGGCTTGGTCGAATTCGAAGAGGACGAGAACGAGCAGGTCGTGCAGCAGGTAGCTCTGCAGCAGATGTCGCGCAGCTTACAGAGGCACTACATCAGCTGTTTGTTCCGAAGGTGCTTGACACCAAAGAGGGAAAGCACTACATTCTCGAAGAAGCGCTTCCATGGCCCTGTCCTGAGCTACCCGTCTTTTCAGATGGGGCAGGGAGTCCGGTGTGGGCAGATGAGGGCGGGGACGTTGAGATTGCACCGGTATTCTTGTCAGACCGCAGGTGGCCGCGCAGGGGCTTGAAATTGCCACACTTCCCAGAAGCAGAGCGCTGCGTCCGCAGCAACTGGGAAGATCGAACCATCGGCTTCTTCGTGGCTTTGTTCGTGCGAGCGGAAAAGTGATGCCTGCGGTGCATGTACAGGGCGGCAGCGTCTGTTGTTCATTGTTCACAGTGCATAAAACTCAGCACGACCACCCCTACAATCTACAACTAGCGGCTGGCAGTCGTCCATTCTGCGCTTTCTGAGCTTGGGAGATTTCGGGAGATGATGTTTCGCTCATGGTTGGGTTCTTGCCAGGCTTAAGTAATCACCTGTGGGTCTTCTGAATCTCAGTTGCATATGTGCATATTAATATGTGGTTGCGCTTAGTAGTTAGTTGACGGCCAGTCTGCCTTTGATGCTCTCTGAGGCTTTTTGATACCTTCAAACCAGGCGGGGAGAGCCAGGCGCATGCCGGGTTCCATATGCTGCAAGTCAGGCAGCCGGTGAGAGGTTCCGCAGGCAGCATGTCATTCGAATTGAACGCCAACCGGGTGGGTTTTGGGCCTCTCGCCCAGCGGTTTGGGAGTTCAGGCAGCATGAAGCCGTGCCGGGTTTCCTTGTCAAGAAATCAAACATCAATAGTCCACTATGGGAGTCGGAGTCATGCACCAGGAGTGGACAAGCAAGGAGCATTCATGGCCTCGGCAGGTGATCAACAGAATACTTGAGCTGTTCGCTGACGCCTACTTTTTGCAGTGGTCGAAAAACAAGGACCCGGATGATTGCAGCTCGCCTCAGGGCCACTGTTGCGCAGACTCCCTGAGGACAAGTCTATTCCGGAAACCGCATACGCAGCTGCCGATAGCGTGTCGGCCTGTGTCGCTAGTGTCGCTGCCAACATAGACACGGTAGGACTTCGGCAGCCTATGTGATGCCTAGGTTCTCGCAACAGCTTTCAGCCTCATTATGCTGAACACCTCACTTCATGTAGCCTCCAAGAAGGCCACAGGGAGACAGAGAGACACCTTTGTTCTGTCGTGAGTTTTCTGCCGGGCAAGGCCGGCAAGTCGCCCTCTGCCTCGATGACAGCGACGGAGTTCGTGGAAAACACGCGAAGGGTTGTCAGACGACGCCTCGGCCGGTCAAGGCTCAGAGCCGCCTTGCGCCGCTGTTTCGACGCTACGAAGGCGAAGAAGAAGTTCCCGCAGCCGCCTTGCGCCAGTTCTACGCGGATGTTAAGAAGGCCGCGGCCCGTGCCCAGCCATGGGAAGGCTTGGTCAGGTGTTAGGCCGTTGTGTTCATGTCAGCTTGAGCAACCTGCGAGATCTTGGCTGACTGCCGTAGGCGGATGCCATCAGTGTAGTTTCCGTCGTCCTCATGGAAGAGCAATTACGGGATGCTGCGCAAGACAATGCCATAGTCAGAGAAGCCGGAGAGGCTACGCAACAAGAGAAGCAGAGACAGTTGAGGGACATGGGTCTGAGAGTCCAGGTACTGTCAAGGTCTGCCGGTGAATCTGAAATCTGAAGAGGAAGAGCCATCTGCAAGAGAGCTCACCACACAGCAGGTGGAAGAGCATATGACGTCGCAGTCTGCAGGCGGAGAGGCGAACTTCGCAGACCTCTTAGCGGAGGTTGCGACCTCGGAGGCAGATGGCGAGGCAGCCGTAGCCAATCCTCTTGCTGAGATATGGAGCCCCGACTCAGAAAGAACGGAGCCGGGAAACATCAGGGAGTTTAGGACTGCAGGCGCGAGGGTGAAGCTTGAGGCTCCAGTTGCTCCGAATGCAGCTGGAGATGCTGATATGGCTCCCGAGCCAGCTTCAGCATTGGTTCGCAACGCGGCCCCTCAGAACCTCAGTCTGCAGTTGATGCCAGTGGCATCGAGGGTCAAGAGGGAGGCTCTGGAACAGGAGCTGGGCCCTGTGGCCGCTGCGGCTTGCAACCTGGCCGTGGGAGTCGTAGCTCAACAGTTGGCGGCTGCTCATATACGGGAGCTGGAGAGGCAGGAGAAGAGCCACCAGAAGGAGATAGAGATGGCTGTACGTCTAGCGACGGCAGAGGCTGAAAACCGGATGCTGAAGGAGCAGAATGCAAGTTTGCTGCAGAAAGTTCCGGCAGTAACCTCCACGGTGCGACCTTCACGAGTCTGGAAGAGCTCCAGGCAGCCGAAGCCAGCCTAGAGGGGTTGGTCGGACAGCACCTGTTCGTCTGGAGTCCAGGCCTGAGCAGGCACAGAGTGCTGCCGTCTCTCGTGTGTACTGCTGGAACGAGGAAGTCCGTGCCTGTCGGCAGAAAGCACTGGCCCATGTACGTGGTACCCTGGACAAGCCTCGACCAGACCATGCAGAACTACATGGGTCGACGCTTGAGCGACCAGTATCCCGCCCCAGGCTGGACTGCGATCTTCGACGCCAGAGGTCCTGATCCTGATCGAGATTTGGAAGGGACGCCTGCCCAACGATCTGGGCGCACGCGAGCAGCGAACGCCTCCGGGAAGAGAGCTGCAAGGAGTGCTGAGGTTGCTGCTCCTGCTCCCGCGAGGAAGGTCCGCCGCAAGCCTTCGACTCAGTACCGAGTCCCTCGTTTTCTGATGTGCTTGTACGCATTCATGTCTCGTATATCTAGAATTTGCTATTTTCTGTATAGGTTCTAAAACAAGTCTGTGTGTATGCACTGTTCCTGCATATTTTCGCCAGAGGTTTTGCATGCAAGCACGTCCCGCAATCGCTCGACAGCTTTTTCTGCGATCTCTGCTTCGGAATCGCCTGCCAGCTGCTGCACGGAAAAAAAAGGACACGGAGTCCCATGCTAATTCGAGTATGCCTCTGAAGCATCATCGATATTCTAATCAACTTTGGGCTGCGAAAGCTGGTGTTAGGCCGAAATGTCCATGCAGCCCATGCCGAAGCCTTTGTTGTTGAGCATGCAGAGTGTCTCCTCGCATGTAGCAATGCCCAGGCCGCGCGTGGCTTTTTCTAGGTTGCCTGTGCAGCCAGACATCGAGGGCTGGCTGATTGCATCGTCGGCCAGTTTGACCATGCAACATCACGCTCTTCGGATGGCGCCCCCTTGTCAGGTGCTCCTCGGCGCTGAGGACCAAAGGCGGTTTTGGGCGGCCCGATGCCAAGCCGACTCCAGCTTTGCAATGCGCTATGAGTAGCATGGTCTAGCTTGACAGTTCATGTACAGATGCCGACAGAAAGGTACTGGCACTTCAACGGTTGTACCTTTTCTCGGACAACAGCGATGTGGATCCTGCGGATGCGTGTGACCTCAAGGATCACCCGTCAATAAATCATCGCAGCCAGCAGCAGAACCCAAAGCTAGACATGTGGAGCTTATTCGCTACATGCTTGAATGCGACAGGATGCCAGCGCTGGCAAAATCCTTGACGACGCCTCTGGGTTGCGCTTGGGTCACTTGGGGTGAGGTTGTGGGCGGTGGGTGCATCTTGAAGTCTGCCCATCCTACAGAGGCCGATGCAATGGAGCGTTACCAGATGCTGCAAGGAAGAGGAAAAGGCAAATGCTTCTGCTTCCCTCGCTCAGGCCAGGCCAGTTGCACAGGTCGGAATCGAGGAGGTCAGAACCGCCCGAGACTCGCATAATCTCGTCGCTGGCACAGGCCGTGGGCTGGCTGACCCGGACATGGAGCGCAAGTGTCTCAACAGTTTTGATACGTTTTGATGCCTTGCAGTTTGGAAAAGATTTGTGCTCTGTGGGCAACTCCAGGGCGTGCTTTTGCCGTCAATCAGAAGGCAAAGGGGGTGGTGCCTAAGTCGAGCTCGAAGCTTCATTGCAGTTGCTGTGCCACCATGATTCGTGAGATGCCCTGCCGCAGTCTGATGGTACATGGCTCTCCCAGCTCGGGCATCCCAGTTCACAATTGATCCTCGTGTGGCCCTCATCGTGACAGCTTTATGCTGACATGAGATGCCAGATCAACTGAGTGCCCGCTTGTATCGCATAGCTTGGGCCTGCAGTCCAGGTGGCGGAGTCGAGCGATTTGATGGTGACGCCGTCTCGTGTTGGTTGTCGCTGTGATCCGAACACGAATGTCTTAACATTGCCTTCGGAAGCAGCAAGGAGAAGTGGGTGAGCCTCATCGACTGTGGGCCATATTGACAACTCGCGTGTTCCGACATGCATGTGTGTCCGCTTTCCAGATGCCATCTGGCGCTTATGCTTAGAGCTCAACCTTTTGAGGAACGCTGGGAAGATGGCGTCTGCAGGTTTAGGAGAAATTTGATTTGATATTGCGCCAAAGCGTGCATTTCAGCGCCTCAGTGGCCTGAGAGGCAAGTAGATTTGAGATCCATGCCCATAGTTAGGGCTTCGCGTAGTGAGTGAGGCTTTTGTGATGGCGTTCTAGCTCGGTACAGCTTTGACAAGCATTGCAGTGGGGAGGTAGAGGCCGAGGTGACGAGGCGACAGGTTCGATTCTCGATGCTTCTTTCCGCCTCCTGCAGTGCTTCCTCGAAGCTCCGAAGTCTGACGATTTCAAACCCGTGAGTCGTGCCAGCACAGGCTAGCCGCCTACTCCCACACGGCTGGCGTGGAGCATGTTTCACTTGGACAGCTCGCCGTCGTGGATGTAGGGGAAGCAAGAAAAGTCTTTGCCGCTGAGCGAGTCTGCCGCGGAACAGCGAGAGGACCTGAGGGGATGTGAGGCGCGGATCGAGTCCTTTGCACTGAAGCCTCAGTTTTGGTTTAGACAACCATGAGATTCGCACACGGAAGAGGTGCTGGTTTCCAGTTCAACTCAAAGTAATTCTGGGATGTGCTTGAAAGCCCGCCCGCGGTCACACGCGACTCAGTTTGCGTGCGTTGCAGCAGTCAGCACGCAGAGTAGCTAGCTACCTCCAACTCTACGCTACAGCACTCCCGTCAGCCGACTCCTCAACCCCAAGAGCCCACCATTCAGCCCACGGAACTGTCTAGAGTTTAGTTACGAAGTAACTGTTGTAGCTGCTGCCCCGATGACTGCATCTGGGTTCCAGTAGCAGGCCACTCTTTCTGCCTTTGAAGACCATTGGCAGCTTTGGCGTTCTTCCATAGGGCGGGTTGGTCGGATGTAGAGAGCTTCAGACTTTGCGGCTACGAGAGTCGGATTTGCAGCACCGTAATTATGCATGCGCGCAAGTGCGGCATGAAACAGAATGAAGATCAAGCCTCTGCAGTGTACAGTAATCACAGGCTCTACTTAAACTTGTGCTTGATGTACTTCATCGCCGTGTCAGGAGCTACCCCGGATGGTGGCCCGCAGTGGGTCTGGCCGAGGCATCCGAATCCGATGTAGCCGCGAACGAGTTGCATATGGCCGATCGAGAACGCCCCTTTCAGTAGGCCGGGATCGGAGCCGGCGTCGGAGAAGCCGTCAGGGCCGTCAAGGCGCTTGATTGGGGTCACTGGGCGGTTGACGAATTCGCTACATGCATGTCTTGCACATGGAGTGTCAGAATGCCAGCCAAGTTCAGGCAGACCATCTCCACAGACACGCCGAGGCCCGACTGTCCGGTTCCATGTCCTGGCAGCTTGCAGTGCGTGGCAGGTCGAAGCAACAGCAACCGGCGCCGAAATGACCTAGACGGGCGCAGGCAAGCGAAATTCGAACCTACGAACCTGATGAGACCTGCTCTGTGCTGCTTGCTTGTAGAATCACTCAGAAGCACGCGCGCTTCATGGAAGTCGTCCAGAATGAATTGCGGTCACCACTCCCTGTCACATCAGCCCAAACCTCTTCCCCGACAGTTTGCATGGTGAATTAAGTCGAACAGCACCTACCTACCAGTCAGCGCGCTTTTGCTGCTTAGGGGTCGGGCTCACAACTCACAGAATACTTGCTAAACATGCACACACTGTCTGTTGTGCAGCATGTCTCGTGTTATTTGCTATCTTGTTTGGCTGACAACATCTTAGCAACTTCTCATTGGGGAGGCCTGATCGGTCGCGCCGACGCCTCGCAAGAGGCACCGTTCGTTCAAGCTTAGGCAGGCGGGAATCTGGAGTGCTGCGAACTGAGGTGGTGGAGACCACCGGAAGCGAGACGAGCGAAGTGATAGAGGTTCCAGAGGCCGAGAGTTCCTGTGCTATCTGCAAAGGCGAAGGTTTAGGGCTTAGGGTGCTGTCTCGACGAAGGAAACCGCCGTGCTCGATCAGACTCCGAGGACGAGCCCAGCTTCAAAAGGCTCCTGGAGGCGAAGCGAGCCAAGCGAGCGAAGCGAGAAGGGCGTGAGGAGACGAGCCAAGCTCCTGCGGTGCTCTCAGCGCACACGGCAGGCATGGGATGGGCCCTCAGACAAGACACTTCAGCAGCAGAGGCCAGCGAGGGCTCGCAGTCGCCAAAAAAAGATCGCAAGAGCCGGCGGCGCAGGCAGGAATCGCCAGATGGGTGTGATCAGTGCAGGAGGAGGAGGAGGTGGTTGAGGTCCACCTTCTTGTCGCAAGAACGAGCGAGAGAGAGAGAGAGAGAGAGAGAGAGAGAGAGAGGAGTGTGACACAAACAACTGAGGAACCCTGATACCTCATAGTCCAATACACGTATTTGGCCAATCAGGGTAACTCGTTGTTATTTCACGCCCTTCCAACCGCCCCATAACACATGGGGGGCCCATGAGGCCGAAGGGCCTCGCACGCCCTTCACGCCCGGCAGAAGAAGAGGAGGGAGAGAGAGAGAGAGAGCCTCAGAACCAGCGCGCACTCGTGCGCGGGAGGGGGCATTGCTTCCTCTTTGGCTGCGAGCAAGCAAGAGCCTCAGAGCCCGGGGGATTTACTCGCCCCTTAAGCCTGGGAGAAGAGGAGAGAGAGAGAGAGAGCCCAAATCCATGCAGCTGTCATCCACCTGTGGATGTCCTCGAAGTCACACATAGCTCAAACACAAGAACCTGCACAATTCGGGCATCATCGATCCGCTGCTCGGCTCTTATGCTCTTTTGTGCACGCTCGCGGGCCAGATTCAATCGAATCTCATTCTACGACTGTTCGTTCTGCGATAGCCACACCCGATGCGGGTACAGGGCGCATGCATAAATAATCGCGATCGTAGCAATAATTATTACCCGAAGCAGCCACGGCATCTGCCCCAACGAGCAGACTATAGACCCCTGTGAAATGCATTGTCGAACCCGGCAAATCTATTAATATACCCCTTCCAAGCCCCATAACAGTGGGGGGGCCATGTGGCGGTAGACGAAGCAGGGAGAGTACAGATGGGTACGGCCAAGTTGCTCGGAGATGTGTGGCATTGCCCTTCATATCTTTGCTCTGTCTCTTTGCTGACCTTCTGCCCCTCCTGCACTTAAGTTTGCTCTCACTGACTCCGCCCTCTCGCTCTCGCTCGCTCTTCCTCCCCTCCACCTTTCTGAGTCTCGCCGCTGGTTTCAAGATGTTGTTGCTGCTTTTGCCTGTATCAATCCACCCGCACAGCATCGGTAGACCCGAGTCAACGGACTCTGATTTTCGTGGTTGATCCCACTAGTTCAGGACGATCGGCTGCAATAGCATGTTTGCGGAAATACAGAAAGAAAGATAGGCGCAGCTTCTTCCTTACCCCCTAACGCCCGGGGGCATCATGCCTTGATATGGATGGGAAACCGGAACAAGAGGGAGACAAGTACTACCAACAGTGAAGGAGACGGAAGGATGAAGAGGAGGCCTCCGAGAATGGTGCGAAGGAGCCGCAAGCCGAAGAAAAGAATGACGGCGACGGCGATGGGGAGGCTGCGGAAGAGGAGGGAGAGGCAGAGTCCGGTCAGAAAGAGGACACGGAGGTAGAGGCCGAAGAGGAGGAGCAGGAGGACCAAGAGAAAGAGGAGGAGCAGGAGGATAAGGACGAGGAGAACAAAGATGATGATGAGAAGGACGACGAAGACGCGGAGAAGGAGTGCACTGAAGAAGCCAGCCAGGAGAAGGACGAGGAAGAGTCGCAGGCGGATACTGACTTGGATCCTTTCTTTCTAGTATTGAGCATTGTGGTGGCTCCCTTCCTGTCTCGAATAAAAGGACGCAGAGAAGGAGTCCGAAGCAGAACAGGAGAAGTACGAAGACCTCGCTGTTGATGCCACCGAGCTTGCTCAGTATTGGCAGCAGGCACGGCGGCACGGGATGCTTTTTTCAGAGGCTGACAAGGTGGCGATTCATTCGGCAGGAGACCCTGCAAGAGGAGGTGAAGGAAGCCGAGGTTCTGCTCTGTCTCTGTGACTCCTGTGGAATTCCATCATCCCCGCGTTTCACTTAGCCGAATGGCCGAATAGAGGTGGAGGTGCCCGCGATTGCTGCAAGACCTAAGGCCAGGCAGCCGCAGACTGAAAAATGCTGAAAGTGAAAGCCGGCGTTCCTGCTAGGTTCGCCCTGCAGCACGGAAGACTGCCACAAGCTCATGGGTCGTGAGCATGCCTGTCGCACACGTTGGTCTTGCCACCATCGCCCGCAAGGTCCCGTCTCCGGTGCGCAGCCCATCGGCCAGGCCATTCTTCTCGGGCTCGCTTTGCTTTTTGAGCTTGTCGACTCGACTTCTGCGAGCGATACGAGTCCTCATCATGGCAAAAGCAAGGAAGAGCGAGGAAGCCAAGGACGAAGAGGAGGCCAATACAGAGTTCAAAGTTCAGGGCTTTTCTACACCGCGGTTGCGGTTTTGGTTCTGTGTGGGATGTCGAATCATGCATAATTGGACTGCCTTGCTTTAGGCCGGGCTTCTGGTCGAATCATTTCATGTCTTGCCACGACTTGCAGGTGCTCTAGACTAAAGTTCTCGGTGCTGCAGACCTACGGGCTCCATGATGATGGAACCCCTTAAACCTCTCATATGTAGCTACTGAATATTGTAGGGCTCGATCCCTATACCCCAACCCTGAGTGATCTGCCTGGTCCACCGCCTTGGAATCCAGTTTTTCGAATGCTTTCAACAGAGAGATTCCAAGGAGAGGCTTCGCAGACCGGTACAGTTACTTTAAGTGTTGTTATCCTTTGTTGCTGAGATGTCGTGATGAGGCCTCTTAGTGTCGTTTCACTCTGCAGACTCGAACTCATATGCCTCGCCTGGTTTGTCCGAGTGTGAGCGCCGAAATCTCGCCTGGGGTCCACGAGCACCGAAGTGCAGCTGAGAATCTCTGCGTACTGCAGGAGTCCGTGGCAAAGAGCCATGCCTCCAGCGCCAGCGAAGATCAGTGGGGGCCTCTTGATAGGAGAGAGCAGTCTCGGATCTCCGAAGATGGGGTGAAAGAAATCCTAAGGCAGGAGAACTCGGCCACCGACGCGAAGACGCCCGCAGGCAGAGCTCAGAGTGCCAGGCAAGGCCGCCGGGAGCAGCCGAGTGAGACTCCTGTGAGAGGACACGGCGACGGGCACGAGAAGATCAGAGTCAAGCGTTCCCTGGTACAAATGGCAAAACTCAGCGATGGCACTTGGAATAATTACTTCGCTTTGCAGCCAAGGCAAGCGGCGACGCAGGTGGGGTTCGTGCAACAGCAATGGAAAAATTGGAGCGTGCGAAACGAAACGGCCAGGAAGCGACGGCCGGAGGATGGAGATCGCAAGGCGACAGATACAGAGGCCAACCTCATGCAGTCATGCAAGCCTGGTGTGTGAGCCATACGGGGAGCAACGCGGGAGAAGACTGGGTACCAGAAGTGAACATGTTAAGCGAGTCGTAGGAGAAGCAAGATCATGCGGACGTGGCTGTGGCCTCATTCTAGGCTGCTAGCCGAAGTACTGGATATTTTTCTATTCATGGAGTGCCCGAGGTGGCTATGGTCGTCGCAGCTGCTGATGAGCTTGCTGGCGAGGCTGTTTTGCACACTGAGCAGGTCTCTGGCAGTCTCTCCTGCAAACCACTGGGAGTGCTCAGGCTGCAGGTCAGAAAGAACTCCAAAGCATGACGAACAACCTGGACCACAAGGATATCGCCGGCAAATACTTCATCTCACGAGCAGCTGCCCTCGCGACTTTCACACTTGTGCAGATCATCGTACAACTGCTGAGCCAGGATGAGAAAGCCGATGATGCCAACGAAGGTTCAGAAGCTGCGAGTGGCTGATCGCTAACAGAGATGGTTTTGGAATGTTTTCCCGCATGGTTCACTTCATGGAGGCAGGCGGCCCGCTGCCCCTTATCTTACTACAGCTGAGGTGAAGACGGTGAAAATGAAAAGAAAGAGGAGGGCCAAGATGTTGAAGAGAAGGAGGCAGCACAGGCTGAGGAGCAGGAGGAGGAGCGGGAGCTTACTCTGAAGATCGCACTTGAGGCCAAGGCCGGGAGTTCAGCACAGCCTTGCACTGCCCAGAAGAGCTGGTTATGGAGCTTTCAGGCTCTCATCCAAGAGGTCTACCGGCGCCGCAACCCAGCCAAACTGGGGGAGGTCGGGGCCCTAAACCCTGAAGCATTTGCCGCAACTGTCCAGCTTCTTCGTGTTTTTTCAGCAGGTGAATGGGCTCATGGAGAGATATGCTGGGTCAGAGCCGTTGCCCTACCCCACCTATCGTCCCGCCGTGGCTCTCGGAGTTGCCTTGGAATTTGAGTTTGAGCGAGGCTGGCTCTCTACGAGCGGGTCTGCGAGAAGTACGGGGACTCTTTGCTTGTTTCAGTTCTGAGATGGCTATGGACATCTCTACCCGTTGTGGCACTTGCCACAGTGCCCTGGCAGGAAGAAGCGCAAGATATCGAAGGCATCTTCCAGAAGGCACAGCTGCTGCAGTGAACAGACTTCATGGCGATGGATATCGGTGTGTTTATGCAGAAAGAAGAAGAGCGAGAGAAACCAGCCTAGCCACGTGCTCGCATCTGTGTGACCGTGCATTGAACCCGGGCCTGGAGTCTCACGACGGGCCCGTCTCGTGCTTTCTTGTTACCTGTTGCTGCCCTGCTTGAACCGAACAGCGGACGAGGCGAACCGGATGCAATCGAGCCAGGGGACGGTTTGCGAGCAGAGTCCATCACTGATTCTCACTACTTGTTCTTTCCCCTTGTCGCTGCCTGGACACGAGGCTGAGGTTTGTGGAGGGATCCGGAGCATCACTGGAGTTTGCTCGGCATAGCACGGTGGGCCTGGGCAACCGGGCGAAGCCCGGTGTCACGCCTCAGGGTTCTGTTCACCGGAGCCAAGGAGCGATGAGTAGGGGGCTGTTGCAGAGGGATTACGTCAGCGACGTCAGCGACTGTGGCTGTTGTTGCTGCGGGGCTCTGGTCTTAAAGTCAGGCCAGCATACGTTTGCCTCGAAGCTTCCAAGCTCAAATTCCTTTGCGCATGGAGAGAGGGCGCGCACCCAGGGGGGCTAAGCCTTTGCGGACAACAGAGGGCGCTGAGGGCTTAGCAGGGGCTGTGAGCTGAAGCCATCAGACCAGTTAGGCCTATGCAAAGGAAAGGAACAAGATAGCAGAGTTTTCAAAGCATGACCTATGTAGGTTATCAGCCGCATCCACGCGAAAAAACGGTCGAGCACTGCTCGCAAAAAGTCTCCCTGGAATGGCCGCGCAAATCCAGTCCATGCCCCTGCTCCCTGTATTGAGTTCGTCAACGCTTTCCTTTGACCAAGCTACAGTTACGCTTCTTCGCTTGCCATGAACCGGAGAGGCCTATTAAGCACTGTCCCAGCTGAATTCAGACTCTAATTCAGACCCTAAAGACGTGCTGGGGCCCTAACTTCGGCGTTCCCAGCTCAAGAAGCACCCCGCAGTCACATCTCACATCACAGAGCCGTGACCCTCAGGCCGCTCAGGAGGTCGCAAGCAGACGAGCCGAACAGGCTTGCATTGCTTTTCGTGCACAGCTTGCATGTTTGCTTCTGCTCGAGCATGGATCTTTCGAGGCAACTGCGCCGGAAGAGCCCCCGCCCACCATTGCTGTGTGAGTCCCACAAGGGTAAAGGGCCAGCTATTGCTTACTCTTACTGTTGGATCTTATATGCTTCCTAGGCCCGCGCCAAGGGAGCATCCAAGCCAAGTCGGCGCAACGACGAAGCTCCAGGTGTTGCGGTGCCTTGGCAAACAGTGAGCCAACGAGCCTATCAGATTGCTGAGCTTACCAGGGTTTCCGTCTTTGAGTTTTCCAGCTCACAGAAGGTTTGCCGTTAGATGCGCTCCAAGGACGAAGCCGCAGAGCAAGAAGAAGCAGACTTACCAGAAAAGCCTGCGGACGAGGCCTGCTAGTCTCAAGCTTAGCAAGAGCTGCGTTCTTCATGGAGGGCCTGCTGCAGGTGTTGGCTGAAGCCATGCAGGAGGCAGTCTCCGCAAGTGGCCAGGGTTGCCCAGAGGGTTCCGAAGTTCGACAGGTTGAAGAAAGTAAGCGAGAAGAAGAGCCCAGCCGGCATCTCAGATCTATACAATGTGGTCTTGGCAGCTGGAAGTAGCAAGACTGAACGTGTTCCACAGAGGTTCGACAATGCAAGCAACCCGATTGAAGTTATTCCACAGGATTTGTTCAACAAATGAAGCAGCAAGACAGATGATTTTTTTTTTGCAATCAACAGTGGAACAGCTTCAATGCCAAGAACTGCTGGGTTTCGCAATGTTTCGCAGTAAGGCTTGATCGAATCATACCAAGCATCAGGAAATCAACAATTCGATTACATATATGAAGGCTTTATGAAGGCTTATTTCCGTAGTAGAGCCTTTGCGGATGACTTGCTTTTGATCTCATGCCATGGACAACAATCAACAATCAACACTCAGTTTGAACTCGAAGCACCTGCTCTGGGCAGTTCGGTGGCAGCTGCTTCCAGTCGTAGTCGTGTCATGTCGTGTCGTTGCCTAAAGGCCGCAAGAAGAAGCGGAAAGTCCGCAGCCCTGGTGGGGAAGAAGTGGCTCCAGAGTGCTTTGGCAGCAGCTGGCCTGAGCACCGTAAGAAACGGGACCGGGACAGCATGAGCCGCCCAGGCATCGAACTGGCGTGCGGAGGGTGAAGCGCAAGCGCCGAAGGCGTGTACCGAAGGAGCACGCGCAGGCCAAGGTGGAAGGGGAGGATGGCGACGAGCCGCCGGAGACCAAAGAAGTTGACGAAGCTAGTGAGGATGACCGGAAGAGTCAAGAAGAGCAGGCGGAGGCGGAGGTGAAGGCAGGGGAGGCAGCTCGGCGAAGCGACGAAGCTTCCGCTTCCCCTTCTCATCCCTGCACTGATTGATCAGATATGGCCCAGGTTGACGACACAAAGGCCGAAGCGTCTCCTGAAGTTGAAGAAGAAATGGCGGAATCAGAAAGGCAGGGTCAAGAGAAGAGCAGCGAGGCAGAGGAAAACGAAGAGGAGCATCATAGGGTGATCCTGGTGTGAAAACAACTAAGTACTGTGGTGTTTGTTGTTGGGCTCTTCAGCTCTCGGCTTTTCCGGCCCTCTCTCGCGCTTTTGAGAAGGAGCCATCCCCAGCTCCCTTCGTCGCCCCGGGCTGCGACCTCAGACCTCAGCTTGCCTTAGAGCTTTGTTGCATAGGGATCCTCGTGAGGCTTGGATGTTAAGGAGCAGCTCTAGACGTTTCTGCTCCTTTGAGGCCTTCCGACTCCTGGAACCAAAGCAAAGGCCGCGCCCAAGCGACGTCCGCTGGAGCAGAGCCAGCAGAAGGCGAGTCAAAGCCGGGTTTTTGCATGGATGGTGTCCCATGTTCTTTGCCTTTGTGAACCTAATGTTCGCATGCTGAGTGAAGGCTTCGCTGGAGGATATGTGCTGCTTTCGGACAGTCGATTCCATGCCAAGCGGGCCGATGTGAAAGGCAACGACAGTAAGCCCCAGAAGCACTGTAAGCCCTGGTATCTCGTCAGAACAAGTCTGAACGCTGCCGAAACCTTATCCAAAATCCTATAAGCCTGAACAGCTCCACAGTCCCTAAGCTCGCCCAGGGCGTTGTGCTGCTACCTTTTATGTGCATGCACATAAAAAGTAGAAGCACAATGTCCAGGAAACCTTATCCAAAATCCTATAAGCCTGAACAGCTCCACAGTCCCTAAGCTCGCCCAGGGCGTGGCAGACCTTGAGCCCGAGCAAGCGTCGCCTTCTGAGAGCCCGCGGCAGAGCGAAGGACTGACGATAGTCGGATTGAAAGTGCAGATTCAGCAAGGGATGTAGTGGTATTTTTGTTGTATCAGCCAGGGTCAAAGAAAGAAGACTTAGCGTTGCATAGCGATGACCGCGTTGGTGACGACAGTAGTGGTTCGTCTTCGTCCCGGCCTCACCGCTACGATCAGCCTCATCTCGCCATGATCACTATGATCTGATTGAGACCACGGGATCAGGGACCACTGCAGCTTGTTTGGACAGTTTTAAACCACGAAGGCGAGGCCCAGGACGAGAAGGAGCAGAAGGACAGCGAAGCTGAGGCTGGCATAGGGGTTTCTCAAGTGTGGTCTACTTCTAGACGTTTGGAACCAGTGAGACATGGCTAATCTGCGCTTGCGGCGGTTTTTTCCAGCGGCGAGCAGGATGCCAAAGAAGACGAGCAGGATGATGATGAGGAGGCTGAAGCCGTGGCCTGAGAGCTTTGTGCTTCACACGCGCTTTGCAGCGTTCCAACATTCCGACCCCTAGAGGCCCTAGAGCCCATGAATTGGCATGCCTGTGACTGAGGTGATCCAGACCGGAGCTGAAGCCCCGCAACGAGAGGAGAAGAACGAGGACGTTAATGAAGAAGAGGCGTGACGAGTTTCCTGATCTGTGCTTGCCGGCTCCGGGGATGTTTCACCGATAGGACGAGAAAATGGAGGGGGAGGAGAAGGACGAGGAGGACAAGGAAGGAGATGAGGCCGAGCGTGCGGAGGAGGAAGAGGTGCAAGAGGAGGACGGCAAGATAGAGAAGAAAGCTGAAAAGGCGGGGCATCCAATCGCTGAGACGGAGCAGCTCTGACTTCATTGGTGATGTGCACGGCCAGTTCTCCTTGACAAAGATCGTGGAGTTGATCCGAGATGTTTACAACCGGCGCAACCCGGCCAAGTTAAGTGAAGTCAAGGACCTTCTGGCCAAGTACCAGGCCGGATCCAAAAGCATGCGCAGCTAGTCTTGGCTTTCAGAATCTCCACCTTTGTCGACCACACGTACTACATTACCACATTTCTCTAGCCATGCCAGGGCCAGGAGAGAGAACTTTATCGCCTTATCTGTGAAAAATATGGCGAAGAGCCAAAGTTCGCGCCCCAGCCAATTGCTCGGCGTGGACACGTTGGCTGCCTGCACCCACTTCTCTGTGGAGCCCTGCTCCCAACAACAACAAGCTCATGAAGTGCCGCCCGGTTGAGGCTTGCTGCTCTAGAAGACGACAAGTCGGAAGAAAGTCAGAGTGAGAGTGCCAGCGCTGCAGCCTCTGCTGGCTCGTCTTCAGAGCAATGTTCAGGCAGCAGCAGTTCGACCCTCAAACCTGCGAAGGAGAGTGCCAGCAATGCTCGAGCTGGACATGGCCGTCGCGCTGGAGAATCAGGGTTCAGCCAAAGACTCCTTGCTTTCCGTCCGAAAGGGCTCGACGTGCAATCCGTCGTCGTGCGAGGACGCAGACGGCACCGCTCGGGTCGGACCGGTCGACGCAAACACGAGGTCGAATTGCGAACTGGTCGAATAGAGTGAAAGCATCCCACAGAGTGTGTGCCAGGGCCGCCGTGACCGCGAAAAACGCCGCGATCGGAGGCGTGATCGCGCCATGAGCTCAGCGGAGACTCGACAACACTCAGCGTGACCTGGCATGCCTCGAGACTCTTTCCTCGGCAGCTAGGATCGGCGAGAAAGAAGGCAGGAAAGCCGCCGTGGCCTTTTCAGCGAATGATCAGCGATCACTTCACTGGTGCTGCTGATTGCCTTGACGTTTCGCAGTGATCCGTCGTTTTATTGCGGCTTCAAAGTAGCCACTGCAGTACAAGCTGCTTGGCCACTGAGCAAATGTTCACATCGCACAGTACGCACTGCGTGTGCTAGTGCCAGGAATGCACACCAATCGATGAAAAGCCGGGTGGAAGATGGGGTTGGGGGGCCTGGTGAACGCGACTCAGGGTATCGGAGGGAAAGGCGACGGAAGTTTTGCACGGCGCATTGCCAGTAGAAAGAACAGATTGATTTTGAAAGAGTCATGCGCACATTGCGTTTGCCTGTCGGCAGTCACGAGGGTGTTCGCACCCACAGGCAGTCAATCAATCAATCAATCAATCGCACTTGAGGGAATGAAGGCGAGGAAGAAGGAATGAAGGAAGGCACTACTCAGGACAATGTGCGTCCCCTCGGTCGATAACAGAATCGGTCATTCCTGCCAGATGTGTGACTGTGACTGGCCGCTTTTGGAGCGCAGAATCTGTTGTTGTAGTTGTTAGCAGCACGTGCGTCTGCCGCCGCGCGGGGTGGTGCGATTTCTTTGCTGGTATGTGCTGAAACTCGAGTTTTGGCACTTTGCTCGCCCGAAATTGAACTTGCGTTTTGTTTTCGCATCGGTTTTTGTAGTGTATCTAGAAAAAATGCAACAACTGGCGGGCCGCACCGTGCAAACTCATGCTCAGCTCTCCATGTCGCATCCTTTTTTTTGGTGTTTTCCTGTGTGTGTGTGTCTGTGTGTCGCATTTCGCATCGATTTTTACAGTGTCTTTGCCGACTCTCGGCTTTCTGCACATGCCGGCTTCGACTTGCATTTGTCGTTCAGCTCTGTGCGGGGGTTGGGGGGGATGGGGGGGGGGGTGATGACGTCCATGCGAATGCGGCTCGGGGGGTGGGAACGCGGCTTGTGTATTCTGTTTCTTCTGCTGCGTTACTTCTCAAACGCCCGGTTGCTTTGTGACGCCCTTGTTGGCGCTTCTTGCTACCTCACTCTTCAAACGTCAACCATGCAAAACCTCGAACTTTTAAAGCTTTCCACACAACAACTTTGCAACTGATCCTTAAAAATAACAAAAACAAAGACGAAAAGCATGGTATTTGCGACACTTTCACAAAAAAAACGTTACCAACAATAGAGAGCAAAAACAATGGAACACGAACACACCGAAGCATCGTGTTATTGACGAATACCACAACAAAACATAGGGTTTTCAAGCTTTCGACCAAGAAACCTATCAACAATTAACGACACACCCAGCGCGGCGGCAGACGCACGTGCTGCCTAGTTGTTCAATGCGGATCGCATGTTTGGCCTGCAGTCGGAAGTTCTCGAGGTCGAAAACCAGCAGCTGGAAAAGCCGGCAAAGCTGAGGAGACAAGGCCACCACTCTGCTGCCTGTGAGAGGCATGATGCGAATGTGAACTTCTCGTGGAAGTGAGGCTCACTGCAACCCCGGCAGTGAAAGAGACTGTCCGAGAGACGCTCATTTGCAGTGCGCTTCGGTGCAGGAGGTTGCATTGTTGCAGCGTTACCTTGGCAGCCTCCTGCAACTTTCATGAAGTCAGCCTTTGCGGGGAGCGCCTTGGCATCCAGTGCCTTGAGGACGGAGCCACAAGCAAAAGCTGCGCAGGAGCCGCCAGAGGCGGGCAAAACACTGGTTGACTGTAATGTGCATGGGATTTGGCCCCATACTACTCCCTGTACGCATGCAGTGTTGCTAGTTTGATACGGTCGACCATCATCAATCCGCGCGGAAGCTAATCAGTTCTAGTGCAACACTGTGGGCGTCAGCAATGTGCCAGACTAAACGGACCGTGCTTGGATTTGTTAAAGCGGGAGCTGGGATCACTTCCCATAGGGTCTAACAGGACTCAGCCGCCAGCACCGGCCTCAGAGCAGCCGAATCTCGGTGTGGCACATCTGCAGACTGTCTGTTGATTGCATCGGAATGAGGCCGGAAAGGTTTTGCCAAGAAGTCTTCAGCTCCTGCGCCGCCAGCAACGACACCTGCCTCAGTGGCGGCACCTCTTTCCCCCACAGCAGCTACGGCACCTGCAGTGCCGGCCCCTATGCCACCCGCTGCGCCCACGCGCGTGGGCCGACCCGTTGCGGGTCCACCTGGCGGACCCGGCCGGCCTCGGCCGCTCCTTGCCCCGCCGCCCGGTGACTTCGCACCAGGCCGGAGTCCGATGCAATCCGGCATGGCACCGCCAACAGACTTGTCCTGCAGGTCCTCGCCCGCCGGTGGCGCGTCCTTTGGCTCCTCCACCCGGGTCCTGGCCCCTTGGCCGCGGAAATTATGTAATTATGGTCACTGTTGAGGGGGACAGAGACAGTTGTAATTGTATGCTGTATGATTGATGTCGTATCATGTATCTGCATGCGCGGTTTCAGGTCGAATCCCTCTTTTCCGAAGAGGCCAGCAGTCTCGAAGGCGAAGGGTGGCCTGGCACCACAAACGGCGGCCCCAAAGATGGCGACGCCAGTCTGGTGCCCAGAGTCCTTTTGAGTGGTCCTTTAAGAGGCCTCAGCTAAGAGGGAATCGCGGCAGTTCAGAGATACTAAGGCTTTTAACCGCAAGCCTGCCAAAGGCCGCGTTTTTGAGATTTCCTTCACTGGCTTCTGATTGCTTCTCTGGAATTGCGACCCTGATCCAGGCGGCAAAGAGAAAGAAGACACCAGCACCTGTCCGGTGTTGGATGTCGGTCCAGAAAACTCCTCATCCTACACGTCCTCCGAGCTTTCCGAGAGCGAAGAGGTTGCTTTGCCTTTACCACCCTCGGCGTCAGCCTCCGAGTGACAGTGATTCCGAAGTTGCAGTGCCAGCTTACGAGCGCCTTCTGACTCAGGAAGGCACCAGTTGCCGTGGCCAAGTGCGCACGCCTAGACTGGGACATGTGAGATGGACCACCATCGAACACGTATATGGCCCGTGTGTGCCCGAAGAGTTCCAAGCCCTAAGCCCTGAGGCCGCCGGCTGTTGTCAAGAAGGTGGAGAGCAGCAGCAGTGCCGCAACCTCAGAGGGACGCCGCAAAAGCGCAACCCAGCCGACATGAAGCCTTGTATTCCAACCTGGTTGCATGAACAGCTTCTGCCGTCTGTCCTTGATTTCTGTGGCATTGAAAGCCCTGACTGTATTGACGAATCGTGCTCCCGCACCAGCCGTACTTCCGTGGGCGACGTTGAAACTTGGCAGACTCGTGTCCTGCAACTTTGCACGGCGTGCCCAGAAGCCAGACGTAAGCCCCATGCAGCGACGTTTCCCTACGCGAAGGAGGTGAGCAGCTCCGATTCGGGAGCTGAAGTTCCCGCTGCACCCGCCCCTGGAGGCCGAACCCAGGGCTGCTGAACAGCACCGGAGAAGTCTCCTCGCGTTTCCCGTGCCAGGACTGAGGCTGTCCCCGTCCATCTCGCCAGCCAGACTGCGAGAGGCGCCTTGCTCTTTGGCGCCTTGCGCTTTGGAGGGATTGCTGTAAGTAGGCAGAGAGGTAAAGGCCGAGAGGGCACAGGGCTCAAAGTGGCGGACAGGCATTGGCTGGCAAACGAAATGTCGCGACGGGCCAAGCTTTTGCCACAAGAACATAGAAGTGCGTTCACTTTCCCCAGCTCTTCACCGGAAGCAACGACACCCCAGGATGCAGCCATTCTGGATCGCTATCATCAGGCGCAGTCGCAGAGTTGTGAAGGGGGAGAGCAATGAACAAAATCCGAGAAAGAGTGGCAGCTGAGGTGTTTTGCAGTTGAGGAAGAACGAAACTGACCACCAGTACATAGCGATGACCAGCTTAGACGGGCGCGGGCAACACCCAGCAAAAGGCAAGGCGTATCACATGTCGCATGCTGACGCTGTTTGCGAGCCGTGGGTTGCTGGAAGCTTGCTGTCAGTTGTCAACATGGTCGCCACGTCATCAAACGCATTAGACGAAGCAGGTTTGGTTTGACAGTATCACACGACGCATGCCCTTATAGCTCGGACGCACGCGTAAAACCCTAGATCAATGATTCTAGATGTGCAATGCAGGCAGAGGCACTGGAACACGGAATGCGTGTCGCTGAAGCATCATAAACACCGGGATACATGCTGCCACCCTAGATGCCCATGCAGAGTCCTACAGTGTTACATGACTGCGCTGGCATTGGTGCAGCAGTCGCTGGCCTCGTGTCCAGATCAGCCAGCCCTACGCTTCCTCACCACAGAGAGAACACTGGGGTGCCTGACATATCGCCAGGCACAGCAGTCAGCAGCTGCCTGGTATCTCGTCAGTCGTCAGGGGAGCACACGTCAGTCTTACGTCGTTACGTCTGATCAGGTGTGGCAGCTGAGTGGCCTCATCGCCGAACGTTTGCAGGGCGGTGTCCTAGGCGTCGCCATTGATGATGGGCCATACCTGGCACTTGCAGAGCTCGCAGGATGGAGGAGGCCCAGCACTCAGGATCGCACAAGCTTCTAAAAGCCTCTCCGCATTTGCTTGGCAGGGGCATGGTGCTTGTGCCACTGGACCCACATGATCCGGTTTCCCGCCTTAGCCATGTGGCCAAAGAGTCACAAGCGACTTGCTTGGTCACGAAAGATTGGGGCGATGCCAAGACGCTTGGCTTTGTATTTTGGAACAGGCCTCAAGTGTCTGTGAAATGACGCCATGCCGTGACCTACCGTGACCCAGGAAGCTCGCAGAGGTCGGCCCGGTCTTGGACCTGAGTGCAGAAGTTCCCTTGACCTCCGAGCTCGGCGAGCTCGGCGAGCTCGGGCCGATCGCCGGCAGCGAATCTCTGGACCCGACCTCTCCGGCCTACATGCGCCTTGACACCGTACCGTGAGGCCGTGAGGTGTACCTTCTTAGCCGCCGAGAGTATGGCTGTTGTCTAAGGTGGTTCACAAGTGGCTCGACAGGTCAACCGAAAGGAGTTTTGATCTCCCACCAGGCGTTCTGCAACTGGTGCCTTCGCTTGAACGTTTAAGCTGAGTCACCCTCCATGGTTCGGTACCGTGCGGTGCTGCTGCTCCAGGTGCAGGGTCAAGAATCCGCCGCAGTCCATATGCTCATCCAGTGTAGTGCTGATCGCATCGGCCTCGACGTTCGATCCGTCTATCGGCCTCTCGGCTTCGCTCTCTAAGCGTCTGAGCCGATTCTGGTCCATTCTGGGGTCTCAGGAGACATTTTTGCAACATGGGCCGTTGGGGGCACTGTGGCCGTGGCACCCCGTATGCTGTTCTTTGCAAACCTGGGCTGGGCCATCGACCGTCTCGAGGTAACACACGTTACCTGCACTCCATCTCTATGGCAGTCTCTTGAGCGCTTTGTCGATGAATTCAACAAGTTTTCGCAGTTCAGGTAGAGGTCTGCAGCGCATGGTGTGCACTGAATTTGTGGATACTCTGTTTTTGCAGGAATGGCATGGATTTGCCGAGTCTCACTACCGTGTGCCTTGGAGGGGAACGTGCCCCTCAACCGTTGCTCGATCAGTGGACACCAGCCCTTCAACTCTTGAACACTTATGGAACCACAGAGTGCACCTTGGCATAAGCTAGGCTTTTCCAAGTCGGTCCTCTCGCGTGTGGCTCTCAAGTCGTCGATCGTTTGGTTTCCGCTTCAAGCACAACAGGCACGGTTTGGCAGACCCTCCGCCACATGCTGCCTGGAGATCGTGCGACGTTGGTGGGGCGCCCCTATCCGGGCAATGAGGTGCGGATCTTCGACTCCCGGCAGTCTCCAAAAGAACTGCTAGATTGCTCTTGGTAGGCTCGCTGCTGCCGGAATACGGCTGAACTCAGTGCCTAGGAACGTGACGGAGTGGCATTGCAGAAGGACGACGAGGTTGGTGAGATCGTTCAGGGCGGGATCCAGGTGGGCATTGGCACCTTGGTCGGCACCTACAGTAGTGGCTGCTGCAGGCGGGGGTGAACTTGCCATCTAATTACTCTGCCTGGTGGTCTGCCAGGATACCACAACCGACCGGAACTCACAGCTGCAAAGTTCGTTGAGCTCCCGAACCTACCGGGGAGATGGTATCGAACCGGCGATGGTGGGCGGCTTTTGGATGGAGAGCTCGAGGTTATGGGGAGGTTCGACAACCAAGTCAAAATTCGTGGAATGCGCGTCGAGCTTGGTGAGATTGAGTCGGCTGTCGTGCAGACTTCGTCCGGTATCATCGCCAATTGCTCGGTGAAGCTTCGTGATGGTTTCTTGGTGGCCTACTGCCAGGACAGGACCGACATGACCCAAAGCATCTGAAGCGAAGCCACCGCCTGCCCTGCCCACCCTGACTTCATCCTCTACTAAGCGGTCCAGGTGTCTGTCGACGCGGCTGTCATGATGCATGAGCCCTACTGCTTCCCAGAAGCACTTAGAGACCGTAGGACAAAGCTCGGCCTGCGGTTTGCTAGGGATCAAGGCGGGTCTTGCGCTGCATCTGTTTCAAAGGCGTGCTGCCGGTGGTCAGCGACTTCCTTCTCACGCGTTCCAGCACGGAGCTGCCGCGGCACATGCTTCCGAGTCGTTTCGTGCTCATGCAGCGACTCCCTCTGACGCAGAATGGGCCCCAACCTCAGAGCGATGGCGAGCACCCGCCGTGAGGGGCGTGAGATGTGTTCCTGGCGTCTCTTGGAAGGAAGGTTGACTCAAAAGCTTTGCCGGAGAGCGTGGACGTCTCCTGCACGTCGTCCTCATCTCTGACAGCTCTCGAGCGCGTGGTGGCCAGCGTGTGGGAGGCAACACGCTAAGAAAATGTACCAACAAGAGGGGGCTTGCAGAAAGACCACACAGGTGCAGGCCTTTTGCCATTCTCGATGCTGGTCTTCTGCCAAGGAAGTGCTGAAGCGGCCGGGAGTCGGGCCGAACGACCACTTCCTCGCACTGGGAGGGCACTCCATGTCGGTGCTGCAGGCTCTGAAGACGTGGGGAATCATGCGGACGTTAAGAAGTGGGTCTTTGCATCACAAGTCTGGCAACGGTCACCACAAAAAGGGTTAAGACTCATTCAGAGATGCTGTGCCGCAGCAGTAGCAAGGCACTCCTACTTCTGCAAACGATCTCGGTTTGGAGTTTGAGCCCGTTCTGCAGTGGGTGGGATCCCAGGCCTTGGACCTTTGGTCGGGAAGGTCAGTGGTAGGTGCAGGAGTGATAGGCTGGGGTCCAGATTGCTGCCGTTGGTAACTTATCTTAATTTGTGTGGTGACCAGCAGGGCACTGAGATAGCGCAGGTTTCGGAATTGCTCGTGACCTGTTTCAGCGCTTGCTGCTGCATAGCTGGTTTGAATAGGCTTGGGTATACGGAATCTCCTCGCGTGCGTGCGAGCGTGATGGTCGAACCTGTGACACTGTCGCAACGCGCTCAACCAAAAAAGAACCTGCCACAAGACATGGCTGCTGGCCGCGGCCCTAGCTGCAAGTAAGAGGTCCACGTTCTCGAAGATCCGTCCACATTGCAATAGGTAGTCGTCGTCGTTGTCGCTTGTGTTGGCATTGCTGCTGCTGGTGCTGCTGCTGCTGCTGCTGCTGGCCGGCAGTGTTGGATCTCTGGAAAAGGTCTCCCGGCGCCTGGTTGCATTGGCAACCGCTGCCGGGCAAGATGACAGGTCCTCAGCAGTGCGAAGAGTGCAAAGGAATAAGGCACAGCAGAGAGAGAAAGAGACAGAGAGAGAGAGAGAGAGAGAGAGAATATTTTTCGTGTTTTCTGCTAGATTCAACGCTCCCGTGAATTCTGTAATTCGCTGCTGCGTACGACACCAGCGGGGGACTGAACAAAGAGGTGACCCCATATGATTTTATCCTTAACTCCTAAACAATTGTTTATCTTCCGAAAGGGGGAACCTCGGATTCATGCATGTTTCCGATGAAAATGTACGACCCTAGCGATGTTGTTATCGTATACTTGAAGGCTTTAGCCAATGCCGGGGTCTACATTTGTCTTTCACCCCCCGATAAGCCCGATAACACATCGGGTGGGCACGATGCCCGGGGGTCCTAACCGACCCTCATGCCCGAGAGAGAGAGAGAGAGAGAGAGAGAGAGAGAGAGAGAATATTTTTTTGGCTCAAGCCGTGAGTGGTTCAAGGCCGGGCCCGTCAGACAGAAGAGGGCTTCCAAACCGAGCGAGTGAGACGGCCTGAGGGCGCGAGGGCTTTCAGACGGGCAGCCATACGAGCTCATGGGGGCCTTGCTGACCTACACCTGATCACCGCGGGGGCTGTCGGAAGGACATAGTCGGGAACGGTCCTGCAGGGTGGCCCCGCGTGGGACCTTCTGCACTTTGTCAAACTTCGGCGGCCACGGGATCGGCGAGCCTACACGAGGGGTACCACAACTGGACGACCCTGCCCAAGAACCAGGTGGGAGACCAAGAATAAGGCGGGAGAGTTCGTGACACTACGTCCAGGGCACCAAGAATGGCTCCCTGACCTATGCAGACCGACGCGCCCCAGACGGGGGAGGAAGCAAAGCAAGCCGACCGGGAAGCTTCCCCCTGCAAGAAGCAGACGGGAGAAGAAGGGGGGAACCTCACATTGGAGATGATTCGTGAGGCCACAAAGAGCTCGGCCAGTCCATCGCTACGGTCAAGGAGGAGGTAGCCTGCAAGTAAAAGAGTCGACAGCATTGAAGTGGGGGTCACCCGTCAGATGGACACCACCAACAAGATGTTCGGAACCATGACAAGCAACAACAGGCGTTGGAAGAGATCCGGGCCACCCAGTCAGCCCAGGCCGAACATTTGAAAGCCTTCCAAGGGGGGCAGGAGGAGCTCGA